GTCAGTGTTTCGGACCCGAGCTGGGGATCGGGATTGGGGAGGGTGGAGGGCAGGGGGCAAAGGAGGATGATCAAAAGCATGGATGAAGAGGAAAGTCTTGAAATGGGTCTTGAATGAGGCAAGGGAGGGACGAGGTGGAAGGCCTGCGGGATGGAGTTCCAAAGGGTGGGGACAGAATGGCTGAAGGCCAATGGTGGGGCGGGCGAGGTGAGGCCGTGAAGCAGGCCAAAGCCCCCTGAGGGGAGGGAGCGGGCATGTTGGTAGGAGGTTAGGAGGTGGCAGAGGTAGGGGGGAGCAATGCCATGGAAGGCTTTGAAGGTGAGGGCTAGGAACTTGAACTGTATCCTCTGTGTGATGGGAAGCCAGTGGAGTTGGGCAAGAATGGGAGCGATAGGGTCACGGAGCCTAGTGCAAGAGGGGTCATGGGCTGCAGAGTTCCGGATGATCTGCAGCCTATAGAGGGAGGAGTAGGGGAGGCCGATAAGCAAGGAGTTTGCATAGTCAACCTTGGATGCGGCTGCGGTGTGAGACATGGCAAAGCCGGGTAATATTGCGGAGGTGGGGGAAGGCAGAGCGGGTCATGGCACGGATGTGGGGTAGAAAGGATAGTTGAGGGTCAAACAAGACCCCAAGGTTCCGGACTGGCTCAGTGGAGTGTGTAACCATGGACAGTGATGCTGTCAACGCCTGAGGTGTGGAGGCGCTGACGGAAGCCAATCAGGAGAGCCTCAGTCTTGTTGACATTCAACTGTAGAAAGTTAGCTCTCATTCAGGATTTGATATCTAACAGACATTCTGTCAGCACAGCAGTGGTCCTCGAGTTAAAGGTGGAGGCAGAGAGATACAGTTGGGTGCCATCTGCATACATGTGGAAGTTGAAGAGCGCTATATGAATGCAGGTTGTTGATCTTGGTGATTAGAGGCACCCAGACTCCCTCAAAAGATATTTGAAAAAAATATATTTATAATGAACGTGCATTTTGCCCTATTTGTCCCACCATTGTCATGGATTTTCCAGTCATTCTGGCCCTGCTCTCTGGAGCTCCATTGCAGAGTCCCTCCGACTCCTCATTCACAATCAGTCTTGAGACATAACTCTCTGGCTATGCTTTCAGGCATCCTTTCCCTCTTCGCCCCACTGGTCTCCTACCCCCAGCTCGGGTACCCAGCAGTAATATCAAGCACTTTGAGACGTCCTCCCAACATGAAAGGAGTTACATAAATGTATATTGTATTGTTAATCTAAATTCTTCTTTAATATCTTTCAATACCTCACTTTGTTTTGCTGCTCTTTTATATCTCTTAATTAATGCTACATTTTTTTCTTGTGCTGCTTAAGCAAGTAATGGGTGCTGTCACAGTGGTGCCTTCCTAGATTTAGTTCTGTCTATCTTCACAGTCTCTTAAAAATTAACTATTTAAGCATTGGGTTTCACATTACAATACTATCTTTGCTTCCTAAGATTTTAAAAAAAGCTAGCTTAGAGAAAAAATCTTAAGATATTTTTACATCTTCAGTTAATAGCCATTTACGTAGCTTAGTTAATGGCTGAATCAAATAACTTTATATTTGTCCAAATTCCATGTTGCATAAAAATTAATTGGGTTGGCCAATTTCTCTCCTCCTGCCTTCTCCCGTATTTCTGATGTTGCAGGTTAAGAATACCGATCTCAGCTTCATGGTCTCCCATATACAACCTAAAAAATATTGATTTAAACATTGCTGGTCATAATGAAAATCACATTATTTATTCTTGGCATAATATAAATCTTCAAAGACATTTTCTCTTACAATAAGGCGATATCGGAAGATTCCTCTCAAAATCTGAAGACTTCTTGTATCCGTGGAAGGAGTTGGCCTGAATTTGTTTCCACATTCAGTTGTGATTTGGAAGTGATTATAATTCCAAGATATATTGTTTTCTCTGGGCTCCTAAACTTAACGCTGACAGTGCATTATGCAGAAAACAGTGCAGAGTAACAATATCTTATGATCACGGATTTATAATAATAAGTTTGGGACTCCAATTTATAAAAATCAGTGGACAGCGAGAGAAGGAAAGAGATGGGGAGACACACAGACAGGAAAAATGAGACAGAGAGAGAGATACAGAGAGAGGAGAGGGAGATGGGAAGAAAGACAGAAGACAGAGAAAGAGAGAAAGGAAGACAGATAGAGGAGACAGACAGACAGACGGAAAGATTTTTTTTAATCAAGCACTTAATAATAATAATAATAATAATCCTTGCATTTGATATAGCGCTTTTCACGTCGGGAGGACGTCTCAAAGCGCTTCACAGAACACACTGTAAAGTGAATTGACTGTATATTTGTGGGCGAATGCGGCAGCCAATTGCGCACAGCAATGTCCCACAAACAGTCGTAGATTGAAAATGACCAATTTATTATTATTATTATTATTATTAGACTTATTATTAGACTTGTATTTGCTATAGCGCCTTATCATGTCGAGTCACGTACCTGCCCCATCCGCCTGGCTCAGCGTTATGCTCTGCCACTGTCAAGTGCTCTGGGATTCTACCCTGTGTGAGGGGTGCTGTATAAATGCAAGTTGTTGTTGTCATCGAAACATCTCAAAGCACTTCCCAGGATATACTATATATTCTGTGAAGCACTTTGAGATGTCACAACAACAAGATAATATATCAAATATAAGGATTATTATTATTAGTAGTAGTAGTATGTGAAGTGGATTGACTGTGCATTTTGTGGGCAAAATGGCGACAGGCAGTTGCACGCTGCAACGTCCCACAAACGACCACGGCGTGAGCGGCCAATTTTATTTGGGGGATTTGTGGGCCAGGACGCTGCGCGAGAGAAACTCCCTTTTTTTTGTTCGAACAACACCTCCGTTTGACATCACCCGAAGGACATCTTTTGCGTAAAAAAAAAACAAACCCCCAAAACCTCTGGGTTTTACCTTAACTACCGATGGCCTTGCGGATGAAAACAGATGCAGAGCTCAGCATGTTGATGGTAGGGTATCTTTGTGGTTACTGGGGACAGGGTTTTGACAGAAAATAAAACACATCAGTAGCCCAAAGTCCACAAAAATAGCCCAAAAGTAGCCCAATCTTGTGTGCAGCCTCCTATGGGGAGCAGTGTGGCTGATTTAGGTTAGTGTTGCTTGAAACTATGCAAGAAAAGGCCTTCAGAGGTAAATGAAATATGTTGTCCAGGTTTACATTCATTTTTTTTTAAAAAAAAGTCACCCACTCAAAGCCTTTCGGTCAGTCACACGCAGAGACAACCCAGAGCTGCCGCGGTGAGGTGGTGCCTGTAGGTGGCGCTCTGCTCCCCGGCGCCGCTCCGGCTCCCGAGGCCCAGCTTGTCCCCCGCAACGTCAGCCCTGTCTCGCTGCTGCGCTGAGCAACCGTCAGCCGCCAACCGTCGGCGTTCAAATTGCCGCGCTACAGCGCGCGCAGCCGTCACACACACACACAGACAGGGACAGGGGACACGGAGAGCGACACACACACACACAGAGCTGAGACACACACACACACACACAGAGCTGAGACACACACACACACACACACAGAGCTGACACACACACACACACACAGAGCTGAGACACACACACACACACATACAGAGCTGAGACACACACACACACACACACAGAGCTGAGACACACACACACACACATACAGAGCTGAGACACACACACACACACACACACAGAGCTGACACACACACACACATACAGAGCTGAGACACACACACACACACAGAGCTGAGAGACACACACACACACACAGAGCTGAGACACACACACACAGAGCTGAGACACACACACACAGAGCTGAGACACACACACACACATACAGAGCTGAGACACACACACACAGAGCTGAGAGACACACACACACACACAGAGCTGAGACACACACACACAGAGCTGAGACACACACACACAGAGCTGAGACACACACACACACAGAGCTGAGACACACACACACACACACACACAGAGCTGAGACACACACACACACAGAGCTGAGACACACACACACACAGAGCTGAGAGACACACACACAGAGCTGAGAGACACACACACACAGAGCTGAGACACACACACACACACACACACACAGAGCTGAGACACACACACACACACAGAGCTGAGACACACACACACAGAGCTGAGACACACACACACACAGAGCTGAGACACACACACACACACAGAGCTGAGACACACACACACACAGAGCTGAGACACACACACACAGAGCTGAGACACACACACACACAGAGCTGAGAGACACACACACACAGAGCTGAGACACACACACACACACACACACAGAGCTGAGACAGACACACACACACAGAGCTGAGACACACACACACACACACAGAGCTGAGACACACACACACAGACAGAGCTGAGACACACACACACACAGAGCTGAGACACACACACACACAGAGCTGAGACACACACACACACAGAGCTGAGACACACACACACACACAGAGCTGAGACACACACACACACACAGAGCTGAGACACACACACACACACAGAGCTGAGACACACACACACACAGAGCTGAGACACACACACACACACAGAGCTGAGACACACACACACACACACAGAGCTGAGACACACACACACACAGAGCTGAGACACACACACACACAGAGCTGAGACACACACACACACACAGAGCTGAGACACACACACACACAGAGCTGAGACACACACACACACACACACACAGAGCTGAGACACACACACACACAGAGCTGAGACACACACACACACACACAGAGCTGAGACACACACACACACACAGAGCTGAGACACACACACACACACACAGAGCTGAGACACACACACACACACAGAGCTGAGACACACACACACACACACAGAGCTGAGACACACACACACACACAGAGCTGAGACACACACACACACACACAGAGCTGAGACACACACACAGAGCTGAGACACACACACACAGAGGGAGGGAGACACAGAGAGGGGGAGAGCTACAGACAGAGACAGAGACCAAAAGATACCGACATACAGGCACAGACACGGCTGATACCGCAGGTCGGTCACCTTTACTGTCTTCAGGCTCCAGTGCTACTTAGAGCTGCAGAAATGTACAGAACGAAAGAGGCCATTCGGCCCACTTATTTGTATATCTCTTCTCTTTACTCTTTCTCCCAAAATGTAGCAACAACAACTTGCATTTATACATATGTAGCATAGGTGGCACGTTTCATGCATTTAAGCAGTGGCGTGTCGTGCCGCTGGTCTGGGACAGTAATGAGGTGACCGTAGGCACAGTCGAAGAGGAAGGGCCTCGGTGTTATCTGAAGACGGACCCGCGGGGGCGAGGCGGAGGGATTGAGGAACAGAGAGCCAGAGCTTTGGGGCGTAGACACTGAGCCAATCCCTGACGGTGGAGTGGACGACAGGTGTGAGAGGCCGGAACCATCTGAGCGGAGGAGGCGGGTAGCGGAGTGGGAAGTAAGCAGGTCAGAGAGGTAGAGAGCTGCGAGGGCAGGAAGGGGTTTGTGCACCAGTATGAAGATCAAGACTTTATATACATGTGGGATGTACACAAGTAGTGTGTGTGGAGTTTGCGAGGATGGCTTTTAAAAATCTAAGTTGGAGGTGACAAATGCCTGGATAAGGCTTTCATCTGTGTTTGGTGTGAGGTGGGCAATGGGGTGGAGGAAAGTGTTCCTGGTCAGGGACTGGATGTGGGCGAGGAAGAACAACTCCGCATCGAACCTGACCGAGATTGCGTATAGGTTCAGTGAATCTGAGGGACAAGATTGGGGGTTAAGGAGGTTGAATCTAAGCCAGAATATGTCGATGGGGGCCAAGGAGGACGGCTTTCATCTGTCCACATTCAGATTGCAGAAAGTTGGCGCTCATTTAGGCATTCGTACACTCATGGCATTTGGAAAATTTGGTTTAGCAATTGGAAAAAGAGAGATTAATATATATAAAGATTATTAGTAGTATTGCCCTGAGTTTTGGTGTGCTGCCAAAGTCCATTATTTTGTCTCATTCTATGTTAGAAGATTCCAGTTTTACACCAGAGTTATAATAGCATTAGTTGACAAAATAGTTTAGTGAAATTGTTATTAGTATTTGTATTATTTATTCGATAATAAATGCTGAAAAGTGCCTCTGGGTCTGAGGTTGTGAGTTCAAGTTATAACTGAGTTTACAGTTTGCGCTGACATTCCTGTGCAGTGCTGCATTATCCTTCGAATGTGATGTAAAATCAAGGTCCCACCTGGTTGTTCAGGTTAAAGACTCCATTGGCACGATTTCAAAAGAGAAGGGAGTTGCTCTTGATGTCCTTAGAATTTTGCTAAACTATATTATCAGTTGCAAGAGTTGTGTCACTATTAATTGAATCCTTGATTACTGTAACTTCTTTGTTTTGTTATAATCCTCTGATTCTGTTTAACATTTCCATTTCTCTGCTCCAGTGCTACGCTTCCAAATCTTTAAAATAACTTACTTCTCAATCTCATAGATTCTTGGTATTCCAATACTCCAGTTTCTACTTTGGTTCTCATATGGCCAGTTGCCTTTGCTGTGTTTTTGCTACCTTCAAAGAAGCGGGATTTGTTGTTAAGGATACAACAGTAGTATTTGAGATCTCTATTATCTGATGACCAGAATCTGATGACCTGTACTCCAGTTTTGCATCTCCTTTACCAGTTATAATAACTTTGTTTCAGCTCTGTTGAAGAACCTTATTGAGGAGAGAAACATTAACAGAAAGCATAATCTTAATGGGATGGAGTTTACAGAGGAACAAATTCAGCAGCATCTAGCTTTGCTGGGTTACTCTAATATCCCAGAACATCGGCTTCAAGAGTTCAAAAAAGGTACTTCGTCCATAAAATGTTCTAGATAGCTCTACACTGTCTGAGCTGATTTACTTTTGAGAATTCAGTTTTCAAACTGATGGTGAAAACTCGGTAATTATAATGTTACTAAAGATGTAGAAATGTATTTACTATTGTAAATGTAATGCTGCTAAAATATGATCTAAGTTAAAACTTTCTCTAAAATCTTTCCCCCTCCCATTGTCTTGGTTTTCTATTTTCTTTTCCGATATTCATTTGTTAACTTCTGTATTAACACTTTAAAATCTAAACGTGCCTGTTTACCTTTTGCTCTGTTTTGGAGCTAGTAGTTGCATCTCTAGAAAATAGTCACCGATAGGCTGATTAACTGGAGGTTTTGGATCTGAATTTCAGCCATTTGAGAAGAAGGGGTTCATCTCATCAGTCATTAACACAGTGAACCCACCCATGAAGATATGAGGTGTGAACTAGGTGCTTCAGGCACACCAGCAAGCATTGTCTCAGCAACTTTAGCCAAAGGATTAAACTGCACCATATATCAAAGAGTAATTGCAAGAAATGTTATTTTTACTGGACATTTTATATACCTCTTTAAATTCATAGTGATGGATGGGTTTCTGGTGTTAAACTTTTATCTCTTAAGGATTCCACTGTTCTACTGATAGCAGACTGGTAATTCCACTGGTAATGGACTACAGTGTCTAACTATTAAACCAGAGCTATAGGACTCGATGATTACTTTCTGATCTGTGTACAGTTCTTTTTACAAAGCTGTGGTAGGAAACTGCAATAGTACCTTTTACTTTTTCAGATCTAGAAGAACTGATAAACCATGAACGTTCAAAGAGCAATAGCACTACCAGCTTTTCTCCAGAGTCAGTCGAGAGCAAGGCTTCATCAAACCATGGTATGTGCAATAGATGTTTATGTGCCGTTTTCTGGTAAAGCTTCTTGTATAAACAAGGGTGAAAGCAACTTCAAAGTTTGATCTTGTTTTGGAAAAGAATTACCTGCAAAAGCTTCTTTTGACAGAAGTAAGTTGCCATTTTAATTGGTGTCTTCGGTCAAATATAATTATAATCATTGTATTTGATATAGCGCCTTATCACGTCTTATCACGAATATACTGTAAAGTTAATTGACTGCATATTTTGTGGACGAATACATATATCTGTTGCTTGAAAGCAACACACTGAGGGTTCCTGTTAGAACCAACACATTAGTGACAAACAGTGGCAGACAAACAGACAGAGAGACATTGATGGTTGTGCTACAAGAGAAAATACTGGCATACATTGGTTACATATGCTGCTTTTTTTTAAACATAGTACTTCAAACAGCTGATCATTAAAGATAATGCTTGAGACTTGCAGTGAGTATGCTCTATGCACGTCTCCAAATTTAAAAAATGTGTTTATTCATTCATTTAAATACAATGAACACATAAAATTGTTCCTGAGAGAGAGAAAAAAGAGGCCAACTACAACATGTAGTTATCAAGTGGTAAACAGGCCAATTTCATTGATAAAGTGGGAAGGAGCAATTTTGGTAATTTTTTAAAAAGTGTGTCCAAGGATGAAAACTGAATTTTAAGAAAGTCTTAGTTCCTTCCATGACTTTTAATATTTTTTGGGGAGCAAGAATTCTATATTTAAAAAATGCCTTGCGCACATTATTTTCTGTTTAAGTTTCACAGGCAAGGATTCAATCCACATGCCAACCACTTGCTGCAACACAGATCACCCAACAAGAGTTCAGTTCAGGAAAAGAGAATCAGGTAAGTCCTTTTTTAAACAAGATATTTTTATTGTCTTGAGATTCAGATGAAATGGACAAATAACTTTGATTTCTATATTCATCCAAATTTATTTTCCTTAAAATAACCAATCTCATTTGTTAACACACTCCAGAGCAGGGAGACAAATAATCCATAGTACAGGTGAGCAGGAATTACTTATTCCCCATATAATGTACGGAATCATTGTGTGGTGAATTGTAAACAATACTGCATACCACACTCTTGAGTGGAGAGACTATACACATGCACACACATATATATGGTAACAACAACTTGCATTTAAATAGTGCCCCTCGCACAGGGTAGCGTGCCAGAGCGCTTGTAATACATGAGATATGTAACAGTGATACATGGGATAACCTGCAGGTTTCTTGCTGTTATTAGCACCGTTTTATAACCATGAGGTGGATATGTGGTAAAAGGGAGAAGCAGCTGCAGGGAGGGAGGGCTCTGGCCTATACTGACCTGATGCTCAGCACTCTAAATGAGTGCCCCCTAGTCTTTATGACTTGGATTAAGCATTTGGACAAGTAAAACTGGTACAGAATATTGGACTTTTACTTCTAGAATATCAAATAACTGGCATTTGGCAAGTTTCCTGTACAGGTCCTTTCATCATCATCCTAAAATCTGTTATAGTAAATGAGAAGTTTTTGAAATGACAGCTGCTTTAATATGCTATCTGGAGTCTAGTTTCAAGAACAGGGTTTGGTGCCTACCTGGGTATCAGCCTAACTCATTTGGTAGCACTCTCACCTCTGAAGGTTGTGAGTTCAAGCCCCATATTGGGACTTTAAACTCACAGTCAAGGCTGACACTTCGGTGCAGTGCGGTGGAGTGCTGTATTGTAAGAGATTCAATCCCTCGGATGAAACTTTAAATTGAGCTTTTAACTGCCTGTTCAGGGTAAGTTAAATATCCAACAGCATTATTCGAAAAGTGAAGGGAATTTCTTTTGGGGCCCTGGCCAACAATTCCCCAGATAAAAATTGGCCATTCACTTCATGGCTGCATATGGGACATAGCTGTGTGCATATTGTGGGCCAGATTTGCATCTTGTCTGACAAGTTTCCTGCTGCTTGTCCAGATAGAACCACCATTAGAGCTTTGGCTTGGAAGGTTAATGGAAGCTGAGTGGAAATAATTTGTGCCCCAGTGACTTGACTGCGCCTCCAAATCTCCTGGCAAGCCAGGCTAATTGGTCTTTTAACTTTAAAAGCTGAAGGGCAAGGTTAGTTTTCTGGTCCTTTTTTTTTAGCAAAATTAGATAAAGAAGCCTACTTTATTTTAATTCCAAAACAACTGCATGGATTTAAAAATAAAATGTGCTATCCATCAATTGATAAAATCAAAACAAGGTGCTTTGGCTTGATGCTGCCATTGTTATTTTAGCCATCTTTGTAAAATGACAACTTTACTTCTTTAAATACATTTTTAACTCTCATTTTCTTCTGTTCCATTTATAGGTTGCCTTGCCTTCAAATGGGAGAGGGTTCTTGCATCGTCATCCTGGAAGATATTGCCAGCCTGACTCGTACATTAGTTCCTCGGTGGCACCAAATCCAAGCCAGTTTAGGTGTAACTCTGCACCATGTACACTGATGCTTCACAACAGTCCAGATCAGGAAAGTAATAGCAGCCAAGCTCATTCTGACAACAATCCTGAAGGGCCCTGTGGGAGCAAAAGAAAACCGACTCTGCGGAGAAAAGTACTACGGTACGCAAACAGAATGAAACGATTCATAAAACTGAATTGACATGCGCAAATCTTATTGCATTTGTTACTTATTGATAATAATAATCCTATTAATAATAATAATAATCCTTGCATTTGATATAGCGCTTTTCATGTCTTCTAGACATCTCAAAGCGCTTCACAGAATATGCTGTAAAGGGAATTTACTGTATATTTGTGGGAGAAATGCGGCAGCCAATTACGAACAGCAGTGTCCCACAAACAGTTGTGGATTGAGTGACCAAATTGTTATTATTTCTTTGTTGAGGGATTATTATCAGGCGTGTGGAGTAGGGAAACTTCCCCCCAAGCTTTCACCCTGCCGGGAATCAATAATTATTATTGCTCGCTTTGCAAGTGAGAGACCTGAGTTCAATTCCAGACAGGGCGAAACCTTGGGCAAGTTTCCTTCCTCCACACAGAGCCTAATAATAATCCCTCCAAAACCAAAAACAATAATAAATTGGTCATTTTCAATCTACGACTGTTTGTGGGACATTGCTGTGCGCAATTGGCTGCCGCGTTCGCCCACAAGTATACAGTCAATTCACTTTACAGTGTGTTCTGTGAAGCGCTTTGGGACATCCTCCCGACGTGAAAAGCGCTATATCAAATGCAAGGATTATTATTATTATTATTATTATCAATAAGTAACAAATGCAAATAATTAAGCGCTCTGGGATGCTACCCTGCATGAAGGGCGCTATATAAGTGCAAGTTGTTGTTGTAATCCGTACAATTAGGATAATGGTGGGATGCCATCGCAAAGCGCTTTATTGGATATATTGAAAACTGTGTTTTCTGTTGGTGAATACAGCAGCCAAGTTGCGCACTGCAATGTCCCACAAACGGCCATGAAGTGAATGACCAGTTTTACTGTGGATTGTTGGCCAGGACACCTGGAGAACTCCTCTTTTCAAATAGTGCCATGGGACCTTTAACAATGAATGACCATTTTTTAACAGGCAGATGGGGCCTCGGTTTAACATCTCATCTGAAGGATGGCGCCTCCAACAATGCAGCATCTCCCCAGCACTGCATTGTAGTGTCAGTTTAGATGTGGGCCTTGGACCAACAACTTTCTGACTCAGTGGCAAGAGTGCCACATCACAGTGTCCTGGCCGCAAATCCCTCATTCACTCCTAGTCATTCACTCCCTGGCTGTTTGTGGGACATTGCTGTTCACCAGTAGTGGCCAACCTTTAATCAAAAAATACATTTTCTTGATTGAATATTTCTTTATTCATGCCATCAATCAAGATATATTCAATCAAGAAAAAACTGAAAATACTCATCCTTGTTTCTCGATGCTGTCCATGAACACAGCACACCTTTTGTGAAACTTTCTTAAGGTTTATTGGTGCATGTTTTGCAGGAAGAAGAATGGAGAAGTACAAGTTTGTGATGAATCTGTAACAAGCGAGACTGATTGTGGTAAATATAATGGGCTAGATAGTTGTCATAGAGGGCCGTATCCTTCATACGTTTAAGGCAATTCTAGGTTAGTGCAGCTTTTGCCATTAGGTAAATTGTGTGTTCACCTGCTGATTAGATGATACTGTGAGACACTTTGACCTAATCCTCTTACCTTATTAGTCTCTTCATGAAACAGTTTCTAAGCTTCTCCATCTGTTAAAATTGTTGTACTAGTGCGTTGGACAGGATAAAAGCACTGTCCAATAACCATGTATAAAACTATGTATGATAACCTTTGGGACAGTGGCGAAGAGGATGATGATTTATCTTCTTCATTTTGGTCTGACCAGTCAAGTCATGAGGACTCTGAGCAGTCTGCAGTAAATGATCAAACTGCTCGGCCCATGGCAAGCGTTACAGGAACGGCCTTCCCAGACAGCTGGCCTGAGAATAATGCTGTGATTGAAAGCGAGGACTCAAAGGATATGACCAAGAGTGATTCGCCACATTCTTCCATCCAGAGGCCTCTGTTTGAGCTGGGTAATGGAAGAAATGATGTGTTATCTAATGATACAGATCATCATCTCAGTTCTGGTAGAAATGAATCTTCCTGTAGCATGTCAGTGACTGACCCGTTCAACAGACATCAAGAAAAAAATGGTAAGTTAGGATCTGAGGGAACTTGAGGATGTCTCTGTATTGTGTGCCTTTAAATCTTATTAATGAAAAGCTGGCAATAAGATACATTGCCATGTTTCTAATGACATCTTAAATGATTATAGCTAATAGCAAGTTTAAACCCATTTAGTGAGTTTAAATGTAACATGTAGTTTCCACTTTTCTTGCTCTTGGGCAGCAACCGTAAACAAAGCCTGTTTTTTTCATTCCAGTCATTTGACATGAGGATAAACATAAGCACCATGTGATGCTTTTCAAAAAAAGTTTGGGTATAGTTATGGACATGAGAAATTAAATGATAATCCTTGGATTTGATCATGATGCCTTTAGTGGGATTCATCTGAAAACACTCCATAGCTAATTGCTATCAAATGTAGTTACTATCTTTTTGTAGATAAACATGGCACCTATTTTACGCACATCAAGATCCCAGAAGAGAAGGTTGAGGGGCGATATTACGCTCATTAAGATTCTGAAGGGAATAGATAATGTAGACCATGACAAGCTGTTTTATCTTCTACTGAACAGTAGAACCAGAGGATGCAATCTGCAATTATCTAATTGCAGATTGCATCGTCTGAAATGGAACAGTCAAAGATATCCATGTTTCAAACCGCCATTGGGTGGGTGGAGGGACAACTTAATTTAACCTGAGTTAACAGATCCATTTATGTGTCAATGATCTTCAGTCTACGACTGAAGGGGGGTAAATTCAGAACAAATCTGCCAAAACACTACTTCATTGAGAGTAGCAAACTTATGGAACAGGCTCCCTAGAGAGAAAATGTCATTTGTTTCAAAAAGCTGCACTAAACTAGAATTGCCTTATTCTGCTGGAAAATAATATCTCAGGATATAGTTTGGGACACGACATGTCAAGCGACTGCAGGATGGTGGAAGGTGAACTAGATGGACCTTGGTCTTCATTCATCTAGCAAATTCTAAAAATAAATAGTAACAAAGGAATGATCAAAATAGTGTCCTCAATATTTTGAGGATCAATGGGTAGGACACTGGGAGAAATCCTCTATCCTTACTTCATCACATTATGTTGCATGCGCTACTCCAGATGTGGTATGACCAGAGCACAAAACAGCTTGTTCAGCTTAGCATCCTGTTTGCAAAACAACAAGATTACATTTATATAGGGCCTTTCACGTCGGGAGGACGTCCCAAGGCGCTGGACAGTGTACAGCATTTCAAACCTGAGCTGGGGTCAGGGGAGGAGAAGGGAGGGGAAGGGAGGTGGCCGATGGCATGGTCGAAGAGGAGGATCTTGAGGTGGGACTTGAAGGAGGCTAAGGAGGGGGCGAGGCGGAGTGATTGGGGGATGGAATTCCAGAGGTTGGGGGCATATATTATCGAGAAAAATTTCACTTTAGCAGTAAATTTCACTTTAGTAGTATAATATACCATAGATTTATTACATCTATGCGTATAAATGTTTGGTTATCTTATTTAATATTACTTTGTTATTGAAGATTCTGTCAGTGAATTGGAACAAAGGATCAGTAGATTTCAAACTCTGTACCATGACGCAGAGTCCGATGAAGAAAGTGAAGAATCAAGGTCAATCGACTCGGGCATCATCGCTTACAGAGGACCGGGGTCTGCCCAAACTTACTTCACAAGAGATATGGTAACTTATCTTATAACTGGGCTAGCTTTGCTTGTGTTGTACCGATTGGCTCAAGATTTTCTTCTCAAATAAAATTTGATTGATTTGTACCATGCAAATTGTAAAAAAAAGGTGGATTTTTATTTTAAGTTGTGCTCTTTAATTGTACCAACACACAAAAAAAATCTGTACCAGCTCTGGAATTCTTCATTGATAAGTCTTTCAGTTTTGAAATCCACGTGCTTCATGGAGCAGCGATGATCAGTCTTAGCATTTGATATAGCGCTTTCAATGTCAGAAGGATGTCTCAAAGCATTTCACGGGTTTCACTGTAAATTGTAGTGACTATATTTTGCAGGTGAATGCTTATTCTTTCTCTCCCTCCCCCTTCCCAATGCAGTGGAGTCATAGGCCTACAGGGAATGAAGGCTCTAATGCTTTATGTGGACCAAAATCATGTGAGTGCTGTATTACAACAGTTCAAGTCATTGCCTTGTGTTCCCACAATCTACATTAACAAGGAAATGTTTGTTTTAATCCCAGGTGAAACATTATTAGTCTTTTGGAAACGTCAATCATATTAACCACTTATAAAGAATTTACTTTGCTTGTTTGTAATAACTCATTTAGAACATTTCTGGCTTTTGTTAAGATTTTAAATTCAGAATAGGAACATTCAGTAAGATGTGTTGCTCTAGTTAATATCAAGCTTTTGTAAATTGTACTATGGACTATAAAATGAGTTCTTTGTATTATATATAATTTATTTTAACAATGTTTCTATTGAACGTGATATGTATAGGAGGGAGAGGAACAGAAGCATATTATCTTTGAATTAATTTCCCTCTCCCCACAGAACTGTAAATTGAAATAGTATAGAGCATACATCTAACATTTTTTTCCCCACCATGCCGTTAGTTATCCGACCTGTAATGGATCATCCTCATACCAGAAACCTAAAGAAAACTGATCCCGTAACAAAGTAAGTTTACTATACCTTTTCTCTGGAAGACTGGATTTTTGAGTCTTTGAGAAATATTTACTTGATGCACTTATCTATTTGCTTATTTTGACATTATGTATTTTTGGTGTAAGTCCTCTCAGGATAGTAGCGTGGAGAAATTAACTATTTCAAATCCTGAACGGGACTAAATTAATGCTTGCATTCGCAGTGGATAGTGCTAATCCTGGATTTTACGTTGTTGCACTTGGCTCACACTGAAATTACTGTATGTTAACATATTCAGCTTCAAATAACATAAGCATCAGAAGATTCTAGACCAAAATTGATCTAATATTTCTTTAATTATGTTACTGCTTGACTGCCTGTTTCACAACTACAGTATTGATATGGGTTGGATAGATTAAAAGCATGGCTTAAATAGGGTAAATATATTCTGTTGGTTTTCCAGGTACTTTGAGTATAAAAGGGAATGGGACACTTTTAAAATGCCTGGAGAAAAAGATCAGAAGGAGTTGCGCTGGGTCATCAGGGTGAGTACCACCATTCTTTTTACTAGGAAGGTTTAAGGTACAAGTGATATTGTCTTAAGCACAACTTTTGTTTTTTCTCTTCCAGCAACAAATGCTGTATAAGAGCCGCCAACCTCCAGTGAGTAATCTATAATTTTCATCTCAGTTTCTATTGACTTTCAACAAGTATTTAGAATTTCAAAGTGACTGGCATAGCACAAGCTGTCCGGTATAGGTTCCACCACACTGAAGGCTGATATCCGTTGAGTAGCTGACAAGGAAACTCTTGAGGCATGGGATGACAGCTAATGAGGTGTTATTAGGATTCTAGGTTTGTGAACATATGCTGGTATATCCAGGGATGTAAGTTAGGAGTTCTTGGTACTTGTTATCTACCTAGCGAGAGTTAAAGCCTACAGTTCTTGGACATCTCGTGACCAACTACTTATTACGAGGTAAGTGTAAGCCTCAGAGTTGAGCTGGATCCAAGATGATGTGCCTGGCAAAAGAATATCAGAATTGAGTTGATCCACTGTAGTGGTCTCAATTGTCCATTACCTAAGTCAGGATTGTCCACGGAAGAGCAAGACACTATTAATGACCGATCATTTTTGATCAGGGATTCTTCCCACTTGGTTCCTGCTAATCCTACAATCCAAAGCCCTAATAGGTAGGATGCTCCCAGCTGAACAAGCAGTTGGAAGCTCACCAGACAGTGCTCCCAATTGCAAGCATTGAGGGTTTAGTTGGTTAAATTCCAGCAGTACCCCAAAGCACACGATGGGGTCTTCAAGCATAGTTTCTTATCAACCTGCATCTAAAACTTCCTGAAATTAGATAAGCAGGATCCATCCATCTGGGGAAAGTGCCACTCCATTCCAAGCAAATGGCAATTCGGAGAATTCATAAATTGTCTTACCAATAATACAAACTGATGTACTATCAAAGTGGTTTCACCGTTTGTTTCTTTCCTGCAGAAACCTCAGCGGATGTACATTCCAAATGACTATATAGTACCAACTGATAAGAAACGTTCTGCATTGCGGTGGGGAATTAGACATGATATGGCAAATGGAACCATTCCACATAAGTTGTTCTATCCTTTATAGCTGGATTTTTAAAAAAATCTGATTGCAGTGTTATGTAATTAGTGTTTGTGAAACAATTTTATGTGAAATCAGTTAAATAATGAAGTCATTGATTTTATTGAAATTAGAAATGATCTTATTTCCACGTTATAATTCTGCCAAGCACAATTCCTCATGTTTTAAGGAAAGTCACTGTAAGGAAGTTTGAATGGATAGAGGGGAGAGTATCTGGTATCATGCCATAGAAGCTTCTTCTCGAGGAAACTGACTGCATCCAACGTAAGAACCAAGGTCTCATGTTTCAGCATACTGTAAACATTCAATCCTGAAAAAGAATATTAAATTGGGTATTATTGAAAATACCTATTTTAGAAACGTAATGATACCAGCGAGAACAATTTTAATTAATGGTTTAAATGAGATTGCTAATTGTGTAGTTGTATCCACGTAAAAGCTACAACAATTCTAAGTTCTTACCAATTCTTCCACTGTGAAAAAAATATTTTTGGATACAAGTTTCTTCTTCCATATTACACCAACTACTGAATGGATTAGATACATTTTACATACATTGATGAAATCTAAAAATAATAATCCTTGCATTTGATACAGTGCCTTATCACGTCTTCAAGACATCCCAAAGCTCTTCACGCAATATACTGTGAAGTGAATTGTCATGGACAGGTATAGATAGTACAAGTAAGTAGGATGCACTCACACACACAAATAACCAGGAATAAATCACCTTGTATTTATAAATATGTATTCTTCATTACAGTACTTAGGATAATAGATTCCTTAATCTAGTTGATTTTGTCTATTGCAGTACTATTTGCGGTCTGTGTGTACTTTGCTATGGCATCCACAGAGGACTTTAATTAAAATTGTTCTCACTGGTATCGTTACTTCCAACAACTATGCCTATTTTAAACAATTCATTTTATCAGACAATTGAAAGACAATACCAGCTACGCCAATGTACAAACAGTTCTGTTAAGTTTCTGTTCAAATCTTTTTAATTTATGGAGCGATTACTACAATTTGAGCTGTGGAAGAGAACACTTTTTGCGATTCACTGATAATGAATTATTTTGTCTTCGACATTGTTAAACTGGTGGAGGCTTTATAAACATATAAGAAATTATTGAATTACTCAAGTTCAAAATGTACTGGGTTCTCTGAAATATGATTACATTCAATAAATAGTTACTGTCAATAAAATGTACACATTAACAGAAAATGTATATGATTTTGCCAGAATTTGAACATTAACAAAACACATCTTGAATATTTCTTACCTATAGCGGGCATCAGATTTATGGTTTTGGAATATTGGGTGGCTGCTAAAATATTTTCTGGCATGTCTTCCTTACTAAAAGAGTAAAACAAAATGCTGTATCAATATACACAAGACAATTTTTTTGATGATTCAGTTGTGCTGTATTGTACTCTAGCCTGGCCTTTCCTGGAGTACTGTGTACAGTTCTGGATTCTGACTCTAGATCAGCTTTTCTCAAATGCAACCACAACATGCACTAATGCATGTTGCGGAGGACTTGTGGAGTCCTGTAGCTCAGTGGTTAGAGCACTCGCTTTGCAAGCGAGAGACCTGAGTTCAATTCCAGGCAGGACGAAACCTTGGGCAAGTTTCCTTACTCCACACAGAGCCTAATAATAATCCCTCCAAAACCAAAAACAATAATAAATTGGTCATTTTCAATCTATGACTGTTTGTGGGACATTGCTGTGCGCAATTGGCTGCCGCGTTCGCCCACAAATATATAGTCAATTCACTTTACAGTGTGTTCTGTGAAGCGCTTTGGAACGTCCTCCCGACGTGAAAAGCGCTATATCAAATGCAAGGATTATTATTATTATTAATGATTAGAAATTATTTTTTCTTCTGGCTTTATAACTGGATTTCCTATTACAAAGATGGCCAAAAAAAACTTAGCAATCTAGGTGAGTAAATTACACATCTATGAATGAAAAGTTTCCAAATAAGCTCTCTTCTGCTCGCAGGAATCAATCTGAGTCAGGGGCATGCACTAGGACAGTGAGAGTCTACACGCGTATGGTTTAAGTTTTGGGCCTGGTCTGGATATCCAGAAGGGATTACTTTAAATATATCTGTCCTAAACTGGTCCTTCACAAATTGCTGATTTGTTTTTTCAAAGTATTCAGTGTTTTACTTTCTCTACTGTATTATCGTTTAAGTCTCCATAAAGTCCCCTCTAATACATAGAAGAATCCTTGCATTTAGTAAAGAACTTTTCATGGCAGGAGGATGGCTCAAAGTGCTTGATAGAAATTACTGTACAGTGGTTTGCCTGGTTTCCACACCATATATATAATCTCCCTTCCCCCCGGGCCAGTGGCTGCTGTGGTCGCATTTGAGAAAAGCTGATCTAGAGTCAGAATCCAGAACTGTACACAGTAAGTACTCCAGGAAAGGTCAGGCTAGAGTACAATACAGCACAACTGAATTGAAACTGATTTGGCAATGTAGCCCAAGCACAAGGCATCCTTGCATTTGTTGCTTCACATTATTTCACATAGGTCTAACTTCCCTTAAGTAACTTGCATTTGATCATGGCACCCGACCACAGCAAAACATCTCAAAACTCAGCACAAAATTTCCCTTGAAACATGACTATTTTTAGGTAAATGTGGCAGCCGATTTGCAATGGCAATGTGCTACAAACTGAATTTTTCTACAAATTTTTGTGGGATGCTGCTGCGTGCAATTGGCTGCCCCGTTTCGCCCACAATATAGAGTCAATTCACATTAGTCTATTCTGTGAAGCGCTTTGAGACGTTTAGAAGACATGAAAAGCGCTATATCAAATGCAAAGATTATTACACCATTATTTTATCTGGAGAATTGTTGACAAAGATGTCAGGAGAAACCCCCTTCTATTTTCAAATAGTACTTTGGGATATTTAAGATCCTTCTGAAAAAAGCAGAAGGGACCTCGGTTTAACGACTTGTCCGAAGGACAGCACGTCTGCCAGGGCAGCAGTGGAAAAGAACATCAGCCGAGGCTGAGTTCAAAGTCCCAATGTGAGTCTTGAACCTTTTGACTTGGACGAGTCCTGACTGCCGCAATCCCATCCACAGACTATCTGTGCCTCCAATATTTGTTCTAATCTGTAATGAATTTAATTTGCCTGCATCTTCAGCTGTTATTCACTTAATTATTTTCATATGGGTATAGTTTCATAAATACTTACACATCTACAATAAGAACGGAATTACCCCAGCATCTATATTGTATCAAGTCAACAAGATACTGAGGATCTGGGGTGGGCATCTCCAAAGAATCAATAATGTGAAGGTCATCCTGGAAAACAACCAAACATTATCACCACTATATGTAACGATAAATGGACAGTAGCCCAAGAGACGTGTCATAAACCTTCAACGTAAAAATTTAATTTAAGAGCCAGGCCCAGGGAAGAGAAAGAAATGGCATCCTCCAGAGTTTCTAATAACCAAGCTATTCAGAGGTGCCTCCCAGGGTTCAATAGCCACTATGCTTTCACTCTTTACTGTAGATTTACACATGAAATGTTTGTCATTTGGATGAGGTGGGAGGTCTGTTAATGCCCATGGATCTGTACCCCAAGAAATGCTTAAACAGATTCCAGCACTGCCTACTCTAATGAGATGAAGAAAAAATGCATAATAATAATGAAATAATCCTTGAATTATAATGCTTTATCACATCATTGTCTCAAAGCTCTTCAAGGCATAAACTGTAAAGTGGTGCGACTGTTTTGTGGGTGTACATGGCAGCCTATTTGCACATAGCAACATCCCACAAATAGGCACGAAGTGAGTGATCAATTTTATTTGGGGGATTGTTAGCCAGAACACCAGGAGAAACTCCCTTCTCTTTTCAAACATGCTGTGGTATCTTTACCGTCTATCTTGTCTAATGTTTCATTTGGAGGATGGCACCTCCCCAGCCTTGCACTGAAGTGTCAGCATAGACTAAACAAGTTCAAAGTCCCATAGTGGGCATTAATCCACAACCTTCTAACTCAGAGGCGAGAATGCTATCCCTGAGCCAGGCTGACACAGGTAGACTAAGATAGATTAGTATAAAACATTAGCTCACTCAAGTCATAATGTACTTGGAAGTACCTTTCAGACTTATGCTGTCTCAATGTAGACTCCTTAACAGCCACTAATGAGTTATGCATTTCACATGCCATATATAATACGTTCTTGCACCAACTGGGTACTCCAAGGCACTACTGATTACAGCCTGGTGCATCAGCAGGACTTAGAGAGGCAGGGATTCTTCCCACTCCTGTGAATCCTGCAAGCCAAAGTACTAAAGGGTAATGTGGTCCGAGCTGGAAAAGCAGTGGGAAAATCACCAGACATTACTCTCAATAGCAAACTATATGGTTTTAGTTCTTTAAATACCATGTAAATTTACTGTCAGGATAAATTTAGATTTGAGGTCTATAGATTGTAGACACATGGATGATCAAGGCCAGTGAGAAGAATACATTATTATTCTTACCTGAGCAAACTTCATGGTGAGAGCCACTTTCAGACCCAGTACACGCACTTTCATGGGTAACATGTAATAGTAACTGGTTGGCCCTCGAGGCCCATGGGCTATGCCACCTATCAAACCAAAACAGTAAAACTTTACACCAAGGTAATCCATCAGAAAAACATTTCAGATAGAAACTTGTGTTCTAAACAGTAAAAACCACTAGTTAATTGAACAGTTTGTTCACTGTTTGAATCACTGAGAATTGTTGGCTTAAAATTTTTCATACTTGACCTATCAAATTAGTTGAGAGGCTTGCAGCAGAGCACTCTCAGGATGGGTTCACACTGACATAGATTCCAGAACATGTGGAAAGATGATCAATGCTATAAGACTCTGTCAGACAAACAGTGAAATAATAATAATAATAATCCTTGCATTTGATATAGCACTTTTCATGTCTTCTCGACATCTCAAAGCGCTTCACAGAATATGCTGTAAAATGAATTGACTATATTTGTGGGCGAACGCGGCAGCCAATTGCTCACAGCAGTGTCCCACAAACAGTCATGGATTGAAAATGACCAATTTATTATTGTTTTGTTTTGGAGGGATTATTATTAGGCTCTGTGTGGAGTAAGGAAACTTGCCCAAGGTTTCGCCCTCTGCCTGGAATTGAACTCAGGTCTCTCGCTTGCCCGGCGAATGCTCTAACCACTGAGCTACAGGATTCTACAAATGTATGCCTCTCACAGCAATATGACCATTAGCAGTTGTTCAACATAGGAAAAAAATAAAAAAGACACCCACAGCATTAGGGGGTGAAAGGTGAAATGTGTACAAAATGTCTATTAATAGAATTTTAAACACGTGACCGTTACCTCCCCTCCAGAGCGGGGACCGGATGCTTCCCTGACGTGCTCTGCCACTTCCTTTCTGTTTCCATGGTTTCCTGCCTCCACCTCGCACTTCAGCTCGTGTCTTCACCTTAGCATAGCTCTGCCAATTGAAATTTAATTATGAAAAAATCCATTGATAACATGAACCCTTTCCCCCCACAAAATTCAGAGGACTAAATAAGGGTTGGAATTTTGGATGCACGTGGTACATTATAATGTCTGTCGGACATCAAATCCTGGATAATGGCTAATTTTCTTCAGTTGAACGTCAACAAGACCGAGGCGCTGCTGATTGGCTCCCATCAGCACCTCCTCGCCTCAGACGCTGACAGCATCACCATCTACGGCTGCACACTCCACCTTACTAAGCCAGTCCGGAACCTCAGGGTCTTGTTTGAACCTCAACTATACTTTCTACCCCGTATCTGCGCTACGACCCGCTCTGCCTTCCCCCACCTCCACAACATCGCCCGGCTCCGACACTGTCTCACACGACAGGCCCCCCGAGACCCTCATACGCGCATTCATAATATCCAGGCTTGACTATGCAGACTCATTGCTTGTCGGCCTCCCCAACTCCTCCATCCAAAGGCTGCAGATCATCCAGAACTCTGCAGCCCGTGTCCTCTCCTGCACCAGGCTCCGTGACCCTATCACCCCCATCCTCTTCCGACTCCCATCACACAGAGGATACACCTTCAAAGCCCTCCATGGTCTTGCTCCCCCCTACCTCTGCGACCTCCTAACCCCCTACCATCCTGTTCGTTCCCTCCGCTCAGCGGGCTCCAGCCTGCTTCACATCCCCCTCCTCGCTCACCCCGCCATTGGCGGGCAGGCCTTCTGCCACTCTGCCCCCACCCTCTGGAACGCCATCCCGCAGTGCTTCCACCTCACACTTTCCCTTGCCACCTTCAAGACCCTCCTCTTCGACTGTGCTTTCGATCTCCCTGCTTCCCCCCTGCCCTCCACCCTCCACAACTCTGCCCAGCGCCTTGGGACGTCTTCCCAACATGAAAGACGCTATACAAATGTAATTTTGTTGTTATAAGATTTTAGGATTTATTTCTGTTTGTAAATCAATTACCGTTTTATTGGCCTTCTAATGTTATAGTTCTTTTTCTAGCACTGATTTACAAATATATTATTATGCACTGAATAAATAGATTTACAGTGTCAACTGAATAGCTGCCATTGCAAATAGGCAGGGAAAAAAAAATCCACTTACTATCCTTTTGAAGTTTTTCTGCCACGTTGTAACCTCATGTAGAATATCAATTCTATTTAAAAATATAAAAAAGGGTGACCAACAGTAAACAAGAGACCTTTTTTTTATGGTGACAACTCACAAGGATTCCACCAGCGCTTTTCATTGAGGAAACCTTTTTTCCTCCCCTTTCTAAGGTATTGTTTAGAATCATGTGTTTTTTTCACAAACCCGAACCTCTGAATACAGTACACATGGGAAAACTACTGAACTTGACATTTTAGTTGAACTGAAAGTGAAGAGATTACCTTGGAGTTACTGCAAAGACATCAGGATGCAGATCAACAACGCCTAACTGGTCTTCGCTGTGACCACGTAGAGACTGCAGCCAGGCCTTCCTGGGCTGCAGATGTGAAGGAATAGTGATCTCACACTGCCGCAAAACGGGCAGCCCAGATATAACTGGAGGTGGTCCTCCTGAAATATTGACCAGAGGATGAAGACTCATCAAAGGAATTACAGCATAATAAAACAATTCCACTGAGATCGTGGACGAGCGAGACCAATTAAGATGTAGAGAATAGAGGACCACGTTGGGGTAGATTTTACTGTCAAATTACACCAGAGAAAAAACTTTTGATTAAAAAAAGGTGCTCTGCCTAAGGTCAGGTCAAGTTGATTTAAGTGCACTGCATCTCCGGTTTTCCACAAGATTTATTTGATGTATCCATCTCTAAATCTGATAACATTTGAATCCTTTTAGTTGACATATGCCATTTATCCCTCTATCACTGCTGTCAAAGCCAGGGCCTTGCACGTCTTCAGATCACAGGCGAAGAACTTCCTTTTAAACCATGCTTATGGTCACCTCCCTGCCTTGGCGTCAAGCTCCCCCACTGTTAAACCCTCTGACACTATCCCGTTGGAAGGGTGCTACTTAACAACAAAAACAAAATTTCATTTTTATAGAGCCTTTCACGTCGGGAGGACGTCCCAAGGCGCTGGACAGTCAGAGTATCGGACCCGAGCTGGGGTTCAGGATTGAGGAGGCTGGAGGGTGATCGAAAGACGGTTGAAGAGAAGGGTCTTGAGATGGGTCTTGAAGAAGGCAAGGGAGGGGGCGAGGCAGAGGCACTACGGAATGGAGTTCCAGAGGATGGGGGCAGAGTGGCAGAAGGCCCGCCCGCCAACGGTGGGTTGGGCGAGGCAGGGGTTGTGAAGCAGGCTGAAGCCCACTCAGCAGAGGGGTCTTGTTGACATTCAATTGAAGAAAGTTAGCTCTCATCCAGGACTTGATATCTGATAGACTGTCAGTACAACAGTGGTCCTGAATCAAGCGTGGAGGCAGAGAGATAGAGTTGGGTGTCATCCGTATACATGTTCGTGGAGTCCTGTAGCTCAGTGGTTAGAGCACTCACTTTGCAAGCGAGAGACCTGAGAAACCTTGGGCAAGTTTCCTTACTCCACACGCCTAATAATAATCCCTCCAAAACCAAAAACAATAATAAATTGGTCATTTTCAATCTACGACTGTTTGTGGGACATTGCTGTGCGCAATTGGCTGCGGCGTTCGCCCACAAATATACAGTCAAATTCCCTTTACAGTGTGTTCTGTGAAGTGCTTTGGGACGTCCTCCCGACGTGAAAAGCGCTATATCAAATGCAAGGATTATTATTATTATTATGTGGAAGTTGACCCCATGTCTACGGATGATGTCACCAAGAGGGAGCATATAGGTATCAGAGCCCTGAGTAACGTTGCACGAGACCATGCTGGGGCTAGAGGAGAAACAGTTTGTGGAGATGAAGTGGAGGCGGTGTGAGAGGTACGATCTAAACCAGTCAAGGACAGAACTGTGATGGTTGAGGTAAGAGGAGAGGCGGTGGATGGGGATAAGAGTGGTCGACGGTGTCAAAGGCAGCAGAAAGGTCAAGGATTACAAGGAGGCAGAGGAAGCCCTGGTCGCAGATGGACAGAATGTCATTTGTCACTTTGACCAGGGCGGTTTCTGTGCTGTGGGCGGCACAGAAACCCGATTGGAGGGGTTTGTGAAGGAAGTGGAAGGAGGGAGGAGCGAAGCTGGGAAGCAACAACTCGTTCCAGGATCTTGGAGAGGAAAGGGAGGTTGGAGATGCGGTGGTAGTTGAGAAATTGAATAAATGAACAGTACATAATTGAAAGTTGTTGTTGTAGTTCCCTTGTGTTGGTACATTATTTCACAATTCTATCACACGTTCAGTAAAAAAATCCTACATGAATTTCTCTTCTTATTTTTTCCAATTCCATTCAAAATCCTGTTCATAGTTTACATTTCTTAAAAAAAATAACCCCACACCGTAGGATCATAATCACTACATTCTTCATTTACTTTGTTAGTGAGATTATTAAAGTTAAAATAAAAACAGTACTGAGTAACGTACCTCTTTGTGGTATCTTGATTAAGTTTGCTGGGACACAAAGATTGGCTGGAAGACCACTTTCATCAAACAGTGTGGATGCAAACTGTTTAAACAGCAACAAAAAGCAACTTTAAGGAATACAGGGATAAAATGTCAGAATAGAAAATTATAACTTGCATCATGATAAAATGTTTCAAAAATACTTGACAGAAATAACTGCCAATGTAGACAAATGCACAGCAATTTTGTACGTAGCAAGGTCCCAGAAATAACCATGAAGTGAATGACTAATTAACCTCCAAGACTATTGGTCAGGACATCAGGAGAAATTCCCTTATCTTTTTGATTTGTGCCATGGGATCTTTAACATCCGCCTGAAGAGCGGACAGGCGGGAGCTTGGCTTGATGTCTTATCTGAACGATGACACTTCCAGTAATGTAATATATTTTCTGTGACCACTTACTTTGTCCCATTTTCTTTCCAAAACACTTTTAGACATGATACACAATTTGACCTTGAAATGGCAAAATGCTCCAAGAATCTGGTCCCAATGGGTGTTGTATCCACCCGGGATGTTAAAGTTTGAGCCAGAGCACTTGGCAGACTCAGATGCTGGAGACACTGTACAGCAGACACCGATTTGCCCAGTCCTAAAAGGCAGTGAAGGAGGATGATTCCCAGAATTAGAGGAACAACCTATTAGAAGCAATCAGACAATCTAGGCCTCTTCAATCTTGAAAGGAGACGTCTGAGGAGACCTTATAGAGGTATAAAATTGTAAATGTCATTAAGACAATAAACAGTAAACCAAATCCCAATTGTAAGGCGATGTTGGACTTCCTCGAATCCAAAGTCGAGGGAATCCGCTCAACTGCCTCTTTCCTCTGCAACTGCTACCGACTCCCATCTTCTCCCACCCCAGCCCCTACCCACCCCTCCCTCCACACCTTTGAACCCATCTCCCTCTCCTCTTTCATCACCACCATAACCCGCATGAAACCCACTACCTGCTCCCTGGATCCCATCCCTACCTCTCTCCTTACCTCCCAGCTCCATCTCCTTGCCCCTCTACTCATTGACATTCGTTAACCTCTCCCTGTCCTCTGGTACTGTTTCCGCCCCATTAAAAAACGCTGTCATCACTCCTATACTTAAAAAATCCTCCCCGGACCCTTCTCTACTCCCCTAACTACTGCCCCATCTCCAACCTCCCTTTCCTCTCCAAGTTCCTGGAATGAGTTGTTGCTTCTCAGCTTTGCTCCCTCTCCTGCCACTCCCTTCTCGAACCTCTCCAACCAGGCTTCCATGCCGACCACAGCACAGAAACCACCCCGGTCAAAGTGACAAATGACATTCTGTCCATCTGCATCCAGGGCTCCCTCTGTCTCCTCGTCCTCCTTGCCCTCTCTGCTGCTTTCGACACCGTTGACCACTCTATCCTCATCCATTGCCTCTCCTCTCACCTCAACCTCCACGGCACTGTCCTTGATTGATTCAGATTGTACCTCTCACACCGCCTACACGTCATCTCCTCAAACGGCTTCTCCTCTAGCCCCCGGACCATCTTGTGGGGGGTTTCTCAGGGCTCTGTCCTTGGTCCCCTCCTCTTCAACATCTATATGCTGCCTCGTGGTGACATGCATGCGGATGTCACCCAACTCTACCTCTCTGCCTCCATTGCTTGACTCCAGGACCACTGTTGTGCTGACAGAATGTCTGTCAGACATCAAGTCCTGGATGAGAGCTAACTTTCTTCAGCTGAACGTCAACAAGACCGAGACCCTCCTGATTGGCTCCCGTCAGCCCCTCCACACCTCAGACGCTGACAGCATCACCATCCGTGGTTGCACACTCCACCTCACTGAGCCAGTCCAGAACCTTGGAGTCTTGTTTGTCCCTCAACTATCCTTTCTAACCCACATCTGCACCATAACCTGCTCTGCCTTCTCACACCTCCGCAACATCGCCCGGCTCCACCACTGTCTCATACCGCAGGCCGCTGAAACCCTCATCCACACCTTCATTACATCGTGGCTCAACTATGCAAACTCCCTGCTTGTCAGCCTCCCCAACTCCTCCCTCCATAGGCTGCAGATCATCCAGAACTCTGCAGCCCGTGTCCTCTCATGCACCAGGCTCCGTGACCCCATCCTCGCCCAACTCCACTGGTTTCCCATCACACAGAGGATACAGTTCAAGATCCTGGTCCTCACCTTCAAAGCCCTCCACGGTTTTGCTCCCCCCTACCTCTGCGACCTCCTAACCCCCTATTACCCTGTTCGCTCGCTCTGCTCAGCGGGCTCCAGCCTGCTTCATGTCCCCCGCCTTACTCGCCCCTTCTGCCACTCTGCACCCACCCTCTGAAACTCCATCCCGAGTCTCTCCATCTCACCCCCTCCCTCGTCACCTTCAAGACCCTCCTCTTCGATCGTGCTTTCGATCTCCCCGCTTCCCCCCCTGTCTGAGCAGCTCAACTCGATGCTGCGATGGGAGGGGGGGGGGAATCGGAGATAACACCCCCCAACCTGTGTGGTCTTACCCGCTGCCCGAAGCTCCTGCGACACAAGGCCAGAGAAACGCGCATCAACTGGGGAATCATCCCCGGTCCACCCAGGCCTGCGTCCCGCCGCCCCCCGTCACAGGCCCCGCAGCGCGACAGCCGCCATCTTGGTGAGGGAAAGCCCCCCCCTTCCCCACCTCTCGTCTCTCGCGAGAGCCAGCGAAAGCCGGGCCACCGCCGACGCCATCTTGGTGAGGGAAGTTGACCCCCCCCGCCTTCCCCACTCTTCGCTCGCGAGAGCCAGCGAAATCCGGGCCACCGTCGCCGCCATCTTGGTGAGGGAAGGAAAGGTGATAACCCACCCCCGGCCTCGGCCCGTCAGGCGGAGCGCGCCCCCTCGCGGCCGAGGGGAGCAGCGCGCCTGCGCCAACCCACTCCGGTCAGTCATTGTGGTTCGGACGGAAGGGAATCCAAAGGGTTTGAAACAGCAGTGGCCCTGTGCTACACCACCACAGCTTCCCCCTCACACGGGGCAGCGCCCCAGAGCGCCTGACAGTGGTGGAGCACCAGCCCGAGCCGGGGGAGGTGGCCGGAGGCACGGTTTGCAGAGGAAGGTCTTCAGGCGCGACTTGGAAGATGGGGCCGGAAGGGGCCGAGGCGGAGGGATCGAGGGGGAGCGCTTCAGTGTTTCGGGACGTCATGGCTGCTGGTGGTGGGCCGGGGGGCACGGGGGGCGAGCAGGGGGCTGAAGCCAGGGGAGCTGAGGCAGCAGGTGGTGGAGTGGGGGATAAGCAGGTGGGATAGGTAGGGAGGTAACGGGACATGATTGCAATTGGGGGGGAGGGGGAGTATGGAGGAACGCCCAAGGCTGGAAGACTTTGTCGTCCATTTGCCTTGTCCCAGGGTCACGAACAACGTCCTCTCGTTCTGACCAGAACTCCTGCTGCCTCCTCATCCTCCTGGACCTCTCCTGTCGCGTACAAGCTTCCATCGGCCGCTGGAGTCGCGCTCTGCCTGACCGCCAAGTGCGAGCATCTTGAGATTCATTCAGTGATAGAGAGCCCGCAGAGCCGGGCCAGAGCTGGCGTGACGGGGGTACGGAGTTTAGTGCGAGGGAGTGTCGGCTGGCAGAGTTCTGGGTTAACTGGATTTTGTGGATTAGAGCTGGGGAGACCGGCGGGGAGGGGATTTGAGATGTCGAGGTGGGAGATGATGAACACAGGGACAAGTGTTTCGGCTGCATTTGGGGTAAGGTAAAGATGGAGGCGGGCAATGTGGTGGAGGTGGAGGAAAGCGATCCTGGTCAGGGACCGGATGTGGGGTAGGAAGGACAGCTGTGGATCGAACCTGACGTCTAGGTTGCGCACCGGTTGTGGAGACGTAGATTTATTTGGGTGTCATCCGCATACATGTGGAAGTTGACCCTGGATTATCACTTGGAGGGAGTATATAGATGCGGAACAGGAGGGGCCCAAGGATGGATCCATGGTTTAAAGCACAGGTGACCGGGTGGGGGTGGGAAGAGAAACCATTAACCGAGGTGAAGTGGAGGCGGTTGATTAAGTAGGACTTGAGCCATGCGAGTGTGGTCCTTCTAAGGTGGATGAGGGAGGAGAAGCGGTGGACAAGGATGGCGTGGTCGTTTGTCGTACATGGTGGAGAGGTCCAGGAGGATGAGGAGGTAGAGGGCGTTCTGGTCACAACAAGAGAGGATGTTGTTCATGACTTTGACTTTGGGGCAAGGTAAATGGACTACAAAGTCTTCCAGCCTTGTGCATTCCTCCATGCCTACTCCCAATTGCAATCAGCACCATTTGCTGGGAATGCCGAATCAGGGCAAGACCATCTTGATTGCACCAACCCTAGGAGAGCAGCTTCACCCTCTTATTTTGAAGGAAAATATTGTCAGACCAGTATACATTGGTGCCTTCAGGAGGGGAGAGAACAAAATGTGTGGTGGGGGGGAGGGTGACAAATGGTAATACAAACAATTTTAAAAAAGCAACTGATTACCGTGAACCAATAAGATATGGGAAAAGTTACCTTGATAAATAAAACTTTAAATTTCACTGTCCTCTTTTGCAATGCTTGTTGTTGCTTGCAGGTGATTCAAACAAAACGCCTACAGCATCACCTTCTGGCGACAACTGGGAATTAGTCGAATGGCATTCAGAAATGCATGAAGATACAGTTTTATTGTGAGAGAAGTCTTCCCAGTGATGTACTCCTAATACATTTACTAAATACAGTACACACTGATTTGCTGGTATAATAGTATAATTTCCTAAAAATTACCTTTGTTAGGTTTAATCTATCGTCCAGCAGCACCAGTCATCGCCAGCAAAATACCATAGTTACTAGCTTTCCACTAGCTATACAACATGTTCATCTTATATGCAACACACGACCATAGATTTAATGTTGCTGAGCACATAACTGATAAAGGCAAGTGAGACAATAGAAGGGGCAATGCTTCTCCACTTCAATTTAGAATTGAGGGAACAAGTGATAGACCCCAGGAAGTTTTTCTTTACTTAATATAATTAACATCTCAAGTAGGAAAATGTAATATATACAAAAAAGCTTGAAGCTAATGATGAGGGGATGGTTGAGTGGGTGTTCTGAAATGATGAAGGTTGAAGGACCTTCATCTAAACCAATCTTGTAATGAATTAGGGTATGCCCCTGGATTAAAGATGCTTCATTAATAATGCAGAGTAGGAACATAGGCCCTAAAAACATACCAGAGATTTAGGCTAACAGTTGCTCACTGTTTACTAACCTTAATAAGTTAGTACTGTATCTTAACTAGTATAATGAGGGACTTACTACTGCTCAGCATTTAAGAAATTTGAATTAAAAATGGGTCCTGCAGGTTATGAGAATCACCGCATTGTGGGAGCATCTGCTTGGTTGATTTATATTGGGAAGACATCCCAAGGCTCTTAAAAATCTTGGCACTCGAGCTGGAGGTGGGGCTGAGGGGAAAGATGACCAAAAGTGTGGTTAAAGACGTAGGTCGTGAGATGGTCTTTGAATAAGGTGAAGGAGGGAACATGTCAGAGGGACTCTGGGATGGAGTTCCTTAGAGTTGAAGCAGATAGGCTGAAAACTTGCCTGCTTTTGCTGGAATAGCCAGGGCGGGGAACGTGAAGCAAGCTAATACCTCTTGAGTGAAGGAAGCGGTTGGGTTTGTAGGGTTTGAGGAGGTCATGGAGGTAGGGTGCAACAAGACTATGGAGGAATTCAAAGTTAAAAACCGGATCTTGAAATCGGGGAATGGGGAGCTGATGGGTTGATAGGCTCGCGAAGCGTGGTGATGGAAAGGACACAGGCTGCAAAGATCTGGATAGTCTGCAGCTTGTGTCAGGAAGAGCTGGGAAATCTGGCAAGCAGAGCATTGGCAGAATCAACCCAAATCTGATAAATAGGGATAAGTTACTGGTTATAACTTCAGAAGGAATCATATTTCAGTGTATTTTTGTTTGCATCTGATATTGCATAAAAAGGAAACCTTGTGACAGACCAAAACAAACTAAGAAAATCTGAATTATTTTTCTCATCAACTGCTACACTGCAATAATAGAAAGTTATTAGTGTTTAATGCCTTTTGTTTTATTTTACTGCACTTCTCAAAACAGCTTATTTATAGCAGAGCGTGCCTAGGTCAACAGCACATCAGTCACCCACATTCCTTGGTTATGTGCAGATGTGAAGTTATACTCAACGGTCATAAATCATGTTTGAACATAAGAATGTAAGCCTGCCAAGCAGGTTCATCATATTGTGAAGGATGTGTTTAAAGATGTGCATGAAATTGGCAGTAAAATTTTTATAATTTAACTGTAAATCAAATTATAACATGCAATTTTTTAAAATCAATTTATACTGTATATGGTCAAATTTCTTTGCTGGGGATAAACCTGATTCATTAATGTGTGGTTATGATGTGATGAAAGATCAGGGCTTCAAGCTACTTTGTTAGATATTGTGCATGATGTTTGCACCAGTTGATTCATTCCTTGTTATTTATTCCAAGGGATGTCTTAATAACAGCTAGACCAGTATTTACTGTTAATGTAACTTCCTCCTCTGTCTTTCCTAATTCCGGATTAAGCTCCACTATATCCATTGCTGAAAGGAGGCCTGTGGAATAATCATTTAACAACTCAATTATGCACTTTTTATGCACACGCGCTGTCAGCATTAATTAGTGTTAAGACTCAGGACTATTATTATTAGTGGGAAATTGGAATAAAGCTCTCAGTTTAGATCTCGGTCTCTCCTGCACATTGTTGTTCATGTGCAAATGTAATGATTGTTTGCACATGGAAAAAGAAAAAATAAATTCATTTCAAGCGGAATGAGAATCAAAGAGCATTTTCGGTTGAAAGAACTATCCGTAGCTATTAGAAAATAAAAATATTCATAGATGCTCTATTTTAGCTGTGCTGAGATACCTTTGCAGTTTGTGCATTACTCAGAACCTCTCCTCACTTGGGCGGTCACTCCAGCGATCAACCTTGCTGGGAATGCCTCCTTTTTTTTATAAATAATATCTTTTGCATTCCCTATAGCACCTTTCACATTGTGAGGACATCTCAAAGCTCTTCACAGTATTTAATGTAAATTGTAATGACTGTGTACTTTGTAGGAGAATGTAGCAAGGCAATTTGCACACTGCAATGTTCCACAAACAGCCTTGTTGGAATGACCAATTTTATTTGGGGGGGTTGCTGCCAAGAAACCTAGGAAAAATTCCCTTCTCTTTTTAAATAGTCTCATGGGATGTTTAACGTCCGCTTGAAAAGGCAGACAGGATCTCAGTTTAACATCTCATCTGAAGGATGGGAGCTTCAACAAAACAGTGCACTCAGAGCACTGCATTGGAGTGTCAGCCTAGACTGTGTGAGTTGAAAGTCCCGATGTGAGACTTGAATCTGCAACCTTCTGACTTGAGAAGCTATAGTGCTATCAACTGAGCCAGGCTGACACACAAATGGGTTTGAGTATTTTGGGCAGCCCTGGAAGCTGACTAAGAGGCCTGACCAAGGAAAGCAGAACACATCTGAATATGCAGGAATGCACAGAAGGTACTATGTTTTCTCAGGATGAGGCCATTTCTAACCAACTCCAAAGGCAAGCCTCATCATTCAAAGCCTAATGTCAAATATATGGGGAGAAATATGTGAAATACCTGGTGAATTCCTAAAATAACTTATAGAAAACTGGCTTCACAATTAAGGCTGTATTTAAGAATTTGTAAAATTCTGGATGCTCTGAAATGTTATACATATAGAATAAATCTAGACCGAACTTGCCTTCCAGGCAAATGAATCATATTGTCCACTGTTCAGTAAAATTACCAACATTGGCAGAGTGAGCCTGCAATGGATAAATTACATTATAATATCACACTATGTTTGATAAATTTACTGAGCAGCAGAGTAGTTCATTCTGGTTTCCTGTACCTGTTTTATGTATCTCACATGCTATGCAGATTCCTTCTTCATAGGTGAGTCCTCCCTCTACAGGGGTCCCTGTAGCAGGTGCCAGAGAGGGATCAAATGCGTCAATATCAAAACTAAGATGGATTGGTTTCTGGATTCTGTGAAAATTCCAATTTTACAGCAATTTTTGAAAACTCTAATCACAAGTCAGGTGGAAAATAAACACTGATCTATGAATCAAAGATAGTATTTTTTTTATAATTAACAGCATCATGAGTGTGATTGCTGTAGTTCAGTAGAATAATGAAAGGATCTAGTTCTCATGCATACCCACTGCATGATTTCCCTACTACAAACACAATGGAAAAACACTTCATTCACAGCAAATTCTGATCATGATCTGGGAAGCACTACTACGACCACATGGTTATAGTATATTCAAAACAAAATCTCAGATTGTTTCTCTCTTTGATCAACACATTCAGAAACCCATCACTATTCTCACGACTAATTAAACCAGACAGCCTTCCACATATGTATGCCACATAGACATGGAAATTTCCCTGTGTCTGGAGGGATGCTTACCTAATTCTGGAGTGTATTAGGTGCAGGTATCAAGAGCCAAGGGTTGGGGGTCCCATTGAATGTGTTAGAGTACTGCTGGAGTTTAACCAGCTAAACCTGCAGAAGTTGCTATTGAGAGCACTGTGTTGCAAGCTTCGCACTGCTCAGATATGAGCTCTTACTACGTTAATAGCAGATACCAGAAACTCCCTGTGAGTTCCCTGATGAGCAGCACAGCTCAACATGAAATGTATGAAAGCATTGCCACCATTTTCCTGCCCACAGCGTGGACATACATCCCTATCCATTGAGCGATGGCTCCACCTGTTGGGAGGTGCGGAGCTTGAGCAGCAGTTGCTTACGTCACTGGATACCAATCGGTGGATTCCAAGCCCTGGATATACCAACACATGTTCACAAACCCGCCTCCCAGAAATGCCTACCAGCAACTGTTGTACAAGCTTGAGTTTCCTCATCAGCTATTGGACAAATATCTGACCAGCATGGTGCGAGGACCTTAATAGGACAACTTGTGACATGCCAGATACTTTGTTGTTCTTGAGGTCTCAGACTTACTCAGCAACAGGTTCTTAATCTAGCTACTCATGTCATCGTTTTTGGCAAATAGATGTGCCCAGCATTACTCTGCCTCCAGGAATGCTCAGCAATAGGTCAGTATAGGCTGGAGGCCTGCCTCCCTCAGCCGTTTCCACTATTTACCACAAAGCCACTTCACTGATTCATTCAGCACTGCACAAATGTTTCTGAAGGAATTATGCACCTATGGTTTGATAATTTGTTAAATATGTGTTTATGAACAATCAGAATCCAGCAGAGTTTATAAAATCTAACCTTGAAAACAAATAATCACTGGTCATCTCCATGACTTTCTGTATTCCCAACTGTTTCACCTCTGTCATTGAGAAGAATTTAATTCCCAATTTTTTAATAATTTTCCTGAAAACATAAAATAATAATGTGACTTAATGTAATGTTCAAGAAAGTGTTTAATTTAACGTATTTGCTAGTTCATAGCATTTAATTGCTAAATGCATTTAATTTTATATTATCCTTCCAGAATACGCACCATTCTGTCTTCCCATTACTTTGACATTCATTTCTTAAATGGATCTGATGTCCTGGCATTCGTTGAGCAGATATACAATTCAAATTTACATTTATATGATATGAATTGATTATACATCTATACTAATAAAACAACAATGTCTGTCTGCGCTTCAAGAATAATCTCAATAACCGACTGACATAGAGACATGATATATACTTCATTGAAAAGGTCTTGGATCCAGGAGTAACATGGGCATATTTGTTTTTGGGTATCTCCTATTGTTTATGAGTTATTTCAGTTTTGCGTTTTTTACTGCAGTTACACCTGATGGCCGAATGAAAATGGCACTGTGGCATTGTGCATCACAGAGCACGTACAGATGTACGCGTACACTACAGTTACACCTGGTGGCTGCGCCGGATGATCATAGCACTGTGGCATCCTGCGTCACAGAGCACGCATGAAGCCAAGCTGCTGGAATAAAATATAGAACACAGACGAAACTTAGTCCGGCGACAATAACAACAACAACAAAATTACATTTTTAAAGTGCCTTTCACATTGGGAGGACAGCCCAATGATTATAAATGATACATTTATACTGATGATTATGAAGATTATGAAGATACCTAAATGAAAATCAAACCTTTCAAAAATAAGTAAAAATGCTAGACAAAAGAGAAGATCCATTAAGTAAAACTGAAGAACAAAGTCGTCCCACAGAAGTCCTCCCAGATGAGTATAGATAAAGATAAAAGTCTGTCTGTTTGTCAATCTACATTCCATGTTGGATCCTTTGGTTGCAAGCAAAGCTGTAACAGGTACAGCTCGTATAATATAAATCACCCAGAATATTAGTGGTGAGCTGGTGATGATATAATAATGATAATAATAATCCTTGCATTTGATATAGCGCTTTTCACATCGGGAGGATGTCCCAAAGCGCTTCACAGAACACACTGTAAAGTGAATTGACTGTATATTTGTGGGCGAACACGGCAGCCAATTGCGCACAGCAATGTCCCACAAACAGTCGTAGATTGAAAATGACCAATTTATTATTGTTTTTTGTTTTGGGAGGGATTATTATTAGGCGTGTGGAGTAAGGAAATTTGCCCAAGGTTTCGCTCTGCCTGGAATTGAACTCAGGTCTCTCGCTTGCAAAGCGAGTGCTCTAACCACTGAGCTACAGGACTCCACGTCCATGATGTTAACTAGCTTCACTCCACTTCCAATTCAAATGCATGACATGGTTATGGGAAAGCAATCATTTCAGTCCCACTTACCTTTCAGTCCCATTTACCAGTTACATGGGTAAGTGGGACTGAAAGGATTGCTTTTAAAAGCATCAGCACAGACAGGAGGGACTGAATCGCCTTCTTCGGTACTGTTCTTCTACACTGAGTGTGGTTCCATAAGTTGTGGTAATAAGGCTTGAATAGCTTCTGTGATCTATGTTCAGCATTTCATACACTGAATTTAGATGATGGCACCAAATTTCAGTACAACTAATTTTAATGTAGAGCACCCAAAAGTATTTTGCTAGCTAAGTTTTCAAGTTGCTCAGTTGGTGGTTCTCTTGAATGAACCAGAAGGTGTGGGTGCAAACCCCAGATCAAGATTTCATAGTCTAGGCTGATCCTCTGGTGCGCTACAGAATAAAAGACCTACCATTTGGTGGATTAAAATACTGTGTCCAAACAAGGTGTTGGATATTTATTTCGGAACTTATGACTTGATATGAAATAAGAATTGAGTTTAGAGTGTTCCACGTAACATAACTAAATTTAAAAATTGAAAATAATACTTCAAAATATTATAAACTATAAGCTGTCATATAAAATTCCTGGCATTTTCTACTTCCATATCAAACCAATTACAGAGCCTCAGTATGTCTTAAATTAGGAAAACTTACTTCTCCTCGGGATCCACATCTCTTAGACCAATATAAACAATATCTTTGGCAGATAAGCATGGAGCCAACCAAGAGAAACCTGGGACATTTTCAACCTAGGATGAAACCCATTGAGAAAGCTCAGAGAACATGCCTGTTACAACTGATAACTTGAGGTTTAAATTAGTACTAAAATACTTTAATGATAAAAACTGAGCACATTTGATATAAGTTTTCATGCTTCGAGGTAAAAATTCCTGCAGACCCATTTGACATGGACACGAAAGATATTGAAAGATAATAATAAAATAATTCTTGCATTTGGTATAGCGCTTTATCGATCTTTGAGATGTCTTAAAGCTTCACGGAATATACTGTAAAGTGATGTGACCGTGTATATTTTGTAGGCCAAGATTTATTGTTAATTCATTGAGGTAGGTGAATGACATAACCTGTTTAACTCTCACAAGTTGTGAGGCCATTCATTCCCTCCTACCCTGCATTTTGTCGCCACATGCCAGCAAAGAATTATTATTTAATTGTCATTATAATGCACACTCTCTCCCTGGAGGGATGCGTCCTGTTTACCTAATTCTGAAAAGTAATAGGTGCAGGTTGGCAAGAGCCAAGGCTTGAAGAGCCCAGTGTGTGCGTTGGCGTAACTGATGGATTCTAACCAGCTAAAAGTGCATGGCTTGCCATTGATATTGCTGTCTGACAAGCTTTCCCGCTGCTTGTCCAGCAAGGACCACCCTACCTGTTAGGGCTTTGGCTTACAGGGTTAACAGGAGCTGAGTGGAACTTATTTTTAAGGAGGACAGAGTTGCCTAATGTGAATCTCCCAGTTTACCAGTATTGTACAAAGCATTGGTGAATTGTTTGTTGGTTGTTGAGCTAAGACAACTGATGTACCCCATGCGTCTTTGATGTGCAAAGCGCGAACATCTCCAAATCTCAGTGATGAGCCAGAAGGAGCTCATCATCAGTTATCATGCCTTGGATTACTGCAGACCTGGCCAACTTGTGGAAACCAATTAAATGCTGAGGGAAACAGACATTCCATCCCTTTTCCCCCAGAACCATTTTAGACCTTTGATTGATTTGTGAATAGTAAACTGCTGAGTGGAACCACTAAGACGCAGAACTTTCCAGATTCATGTCCAATGGTTAGCTAATTGAGCTACCAGGGATGCTGTCACGGGTTAAAGCTATCAAATGGTCTAGTTCTACATTGCTTTGCTTCACCCTGAAACTCTGTTCATGGCTGTCTAGTCTTAGTTCTTATTTTCTGCTTTTAAATCATGTATTATTAATTAATTTATAATAATGGTAATAACATGATAACGCACTATATCAAATACAAGGATTAATATTATTTTTCTTGTGACCAAATCAAGCTAAAGTTTGATTACTGCAGTGTACTAATGGTTTGCATTAATATGCTTGCTCCTGAACTGTTCATAGTTATTGTGAGCCACATTTGTTCTGTTTCATTTGCTGATCTGCAGTGTTAATGCATAGAAAGTAAGCAACTGGTGTGTTATAAGTAAATGCTTGTGCTTATTATTCCATATGTAATTTAATTTTGAATCGTACATGCCCCCACTCCACATGTTGCATGACCCACAGGTAAAATTTTAATTTAGTTATGTGTTACATTCAACACCAGTGTAATTTATGAAAATATTTTCAGCTATGTGGACCTGTGTCACTGTGAACTAATTCAGCTGAACAATCTTCTTTCAGTCTTACGTTCTTAAGTAAGCAAAGTTGCAAAGGAACAAAGGAAAACAGGAACTAGAGGAGACAATTCTATCTGGCCTGTTCCAAGTTTATTAGATTTTAGCAATTTTTTAAATCCCAATGCATTGCCCTTTCATCACACCCTTTATACTCCTTTAACCTCCTCTACTTTTAGGTATATAGCACAGTCTATCAAAACTCTCATCATAGTTAACTGAGTCTCTTTAGACCATGTACTGACTAGAGAAAGAGACAGACAGATAAGAGAGAGTGGGGAAGTGAAAGAGAAAAAAAGAGATAGAGAAAAAGAGGGAGAAAATAGAGAGAGAGACAGAAAGAGAGAGAAACAAAGAGAGAGAGAGAGAGAGAGAAAGAGGCAGAACAAGTGAGAGAGGAAAGAGAAAAATAGAGCGGGAGTGCATCAAAGAAAAAGAGAGTTGGGAAATGAAAGAAAAATAGATTGTGTGAACCATTGCCGGACACTCTCAAAGGCTAAGATTGGGGGCATAATAAGATTTAATGAGTGAAGTGAATCATATGTGTTGTTTATACATAGCTTCAAGTTTACCTTATCCCTGAGTTCATTGATGAGGAAGGAGAGGGGTTGTCCATGCATGTTGCCAGTAGTACTCGTGTCAGGAGTGTTAATGTCAGCATGGGCATCTACCCACACCACACATAAGTCTGAATGGAACATTGCATGTCCAGAAATCGAGCCAATTGCCAGACTGAAACAATAAAAAGATTTGTATTTTCCCACACGATTTTATCTCATGTTAATTTCAAACAAGTTTTACATTTTAGTCGCGTTCTTAAGGAGTTCTCTGTATCACTTTTACAAAATAAATACCTGTGATCTCCCCCGAGAGTAACACAGAGCCTGTCATCTCTTTTCACTCTGGCTACAGCTTGAGATAACTTCTGATTTGCCGCCCCCACAGTCCGTGGCCACCTGGCAGATTTAAATGGCTCATCCCCAAGCACCTCCACAAATTTCAAGTTGCTGTAATCTTCTACATTGAGACCTCAAAATTAAAACAAGAAAATAATTGCCTGCAATGGAAGGGAATCCACAATCTGTTCCATTTAGAATCCTGAAATTATTTTATTGTATTCAATTGTATTGGAATAATTCACTTTAAGACCCTCCCTGCTCATAGCTCAATGGGTAAATGCACCACATGGTGTAACATAAAATTCTCAAAGACCAGCAAATTCCCTTGTTTAATCATTCAGTCATTTGGCGAGAGGTTGTTACGTTGGAGTCAAATACATTCAAACCTGTCTTTAAAATAGGGACTCACACTGACAGGATTAAAAGAGAATCAGAGGCCACTTAGTATGAAAGCGTTAATAAAATTTCCACATACATCAAATGGTGGGAACCATTGCAGATTTTTGTAAACGGAGATTACGATTAATGCTTAACTTATTTTTCCTGAATGTCAAGATCAGTATAAAATAATATTGATTTTGAGTGTAATGAGAAGAACCAAGGCATTGCCTACAAAAAAATAAGGTAGAAAATACAGTGAAGTGATTTCAAGACATTTTTACGAATGCTAACTAATAACCTAGGTAATCAATGTCCCGCAAACAGTCGTGGATTGAGAAACCAATTTTTTTTGGAGGGATTATTACCGATCTTTGGTTGGGATATTTTTATATATATAAACAAATATATATTTAGGATCTCTTTGTTTGGAGTGCCAGTGACTCATTGGTTATTACCTCCAACTTGAAGCTTTTCCAGTAGCTTGGCATTTCTTATTGCATCTGGTCCTTTTCTCACACCTTCCTTTTTCTAACCCCAAATAAACAGGATTTACAATAAATCAAAAGGACATAAGTTACAATAATTAAAAATTGGGTGGCCTAATAAAGCATATCTTTGGATGGTTTTCTTCAATGTCAAAATATACACACCTGCCCTTTTGATAAAGGTGCTCCAACAATTCCAATCTTGTGATTAAATCTCTTGCAGATGGTGCTGACTCCTTCGCGAAAAACAACCATGCTCCTTCGGCAAAGCATTCTCGCTACTTGGCTTCCAAAAATTAGTGATCCCTGAATTCTAGATACGTTTGCTGTGCTGAGACATTGTGTCATCTGATATTTGGATATTATATTATTAATTGCATTTAGTATGTGAATTTACTTAACCTCTAACAAAACACAATCAAACTAGCGGAACCAGTGTGGTTTAGCAAACAAGCGATTTTCACTATATTATTATGTTTAAGTATTCATTTAAAATTTTGTTTAGCTCCATTAGAACAATTTGGAAAACCTTTATCAGGTCTCCTCTCAACTTTCTCTGTTCTAAAAACAGCTTGTTTCTCAAGTGGCTTCTTATTACTAAACCTTGTCAATCTCCTCTGTATCCGTTCCACTGTCTTAGCATGCTTCTTAATATATAGCATCCATAAACTGTGCCCAAACCTCAGGTTTAACCACTGATTCATACTGGTTCGTGTTACCTCTGTATTCGTGTTCCATGACCCTACTTATACAACCTAGGATGCCATTAGGTTTTACTTTACAACTTTGTCAATTTGTCCTTCCACTTTTAAAGTACTTAAGCACTCCCAGCGAGAAAGGGGTATACAAATACAAGATTTGTGTATGTAAACCCTCAAGTCTCTCTGGTTTTTCACTCATTTCAACCGGTTTACCATTTTGTGCATATTTCCTCTCATTATTCTTCCTTTCAAAATGCATCACCTCTCACGGTTTTGCGTTAATCTATATGATTCACACAAGGATTATAAAATCACCAGAACCTAAATTTGTTTTACAGGTGTACCACATTTGCTGATGCCAAATTTGCAAGGGTTATTTTTATCATTAATAAATTAAATCAAGCTTACTTACTGTGAGTCACTGAAGTTAGTTACAGTCACAGGAATGGCCAGGCAACCTTTATGATGCAAGCAGCAAGGGACAGGAAGAATGGATGTACAGCAATTATGATTCATAGAAAGTTCAGCTCCATTTGGCCCATCCTGTCCCACCAGACATGAAGCGAATGTCCAATTTTATATCGGGGGGAGGGGGCAAGGGCGGGGTTGGTGTTGGCAAAGACACTGGGAGAAACTCCCTTCTTTTTTCCAGTAGTAGCATGGGATCTTTAACATCCACCTGAACAGGCAGATGTAGATCTCCAGGTAACATGCCCAGCCTGACATGGCTCAAAGCCAGTGCAAACGAGATCTTATTTAATTCATGAACATTGCCCAATTTGAATGTCAGCGATTTTTGAATAATGAATGGATTTAGCGTTAACGTAGTAAAAAGATAAAATATTTAACAGTATTTTTCAATGCTCACATCTTGTCTGATATTGAATAGCAGCTCCTGTCCATAACTGAAATTTGCTATGTTTAGACTGCTTATAAAATTCCATGTTGTGATGTGGCTCTTTTAGTCTTATTGTCCACGTGTACCTTGGAGGACAGAAAAACAATCATTAACAATTTAACAGTGCAGAGACAACTCCTTAGTCCACTTAGCTCTGTGTGGCTCCTCATTCATTGATCTAGCACAGCTTGAGGCAGACACAGGGTCAAAGCTGATTTTGACTTTTCCTTTTTGAAGGATAAATCGTGTAGCTTAGTGGTTAGAGCACTCGCCTTGCAAGCGAGAGGACCTGGGTTTGATTCCTGGGAAGGACAAAATATTTCCTTACTCCACATGCCTCTGTTTATCTTGCAGTAAGTAAGAACCCAGTTGTTAGACAATTTGCAGATTGTTTTTCCAGGGGTAATAATCCCTTCAAAAAGAAACAAAAAAACTAATAATAATGTGGTCACTCAATCTATGACTATTTGTGGGACACTGCTGTGCGCAATTGGCTACCACGTTTCACCTACAAAATATACAGTCAATTCACTTTATAGCATATTCTGTGACGTGCTTTGAGATGTCTCGAAGACGTGATAAGGCGCTATATCAAATGCAAGGATTATTAAATTGTGCAATTGCAAAATTTTCCAAAAATAAGTACCATTACAATCAACTCAAACACCTTAATGTTAATGAACAACACCCCAGAGGTTTATATTCACCTCTAGCACTCTTCTTCACCCCTTCTCATCCCATGTTATATGAACTAAACCACAATGCAAATCTTGAGGTCACAAAAATTGACCAAGATTTCAGTTTTGGACAAGAATCGTAATTCAACACAATATCAGGCACAGTGTGAATATTTTAAACCACCGTAAATATTTTACTTTTGTATTAATTAATTTTAGTTTCTCTCATGAGTGGCCATGTGTCACACACCATATGTAGTCAAGAAGATTGGCCTCCTCCCGAGCCCTCTTGGCAATGTTACATGGTGCCAGAAATGGTCTGAGATCCTTTTAGTAAGGTCTTCATTTCTATCTGGCACATATTGCCAACTGATTTCTGTGCAGTTTTTTCAAGTATTAATGCACCTTTTTGACATTCTTATTCTTGTTACGTTAGTATCAGGTTTTTGCACTGGACTGTGTATATTTTCATGTGATGTCTTTTTGTTTTTGAATTACCTGAATACTACTGCCCTTCTGGAACATTGGGTTAACAATATGTATTCTGTAAAACAACTCCTCAATTGCAATGCTTTCTAGACAGATTGTGCTGCATTTTAGCTCCCGAGGGAGCAGCAGAAGCAAACCTCTATTGCTGGGAAGGACAAGGTGTCATTATGGGTTAAACATTTAACCTACTGTGATGTACATAACTGAAACGCTGTCAGTTTGGTTCAGTTGGTAGCACTCTGACTGAAGGTTGTGAGTTCAAGGCCTATGTTGGGACTTGAAATTGTAGAAGGCTGATATTCCAATGCAGAGTCAGACCCACAACCAATAGGATTATGCCTAAAGGGTTTTTAAAGTCTATCTGAACAAGTAGATAAACCTCAATTCTCTTTCCAATGCAAGGTTAAGATGACGTTGTGTCTGTTTAGAAAATAAAAGGGAGTTTCTCCCGGTGTTCCTGACAGTTTTCCAGATTAATTGGCCAAGCTTGCCAACAAAAAACATTCACTACACCTGATAGCATTCTCAGACGTGATAAGTCACTATAAAAATATAAATTGTATCTTTCTGAAAAGCAGCCTGATGTGATCAGATAGAACATTTGCAGTTTTTTGCTCTTTATAATTGCACCACTTAAAATCTTTCCTTAATATTGAGAAATATCCTCTGCTTTGCCTTTTTCACCCTCCATTTTTCATTCTTCTTTTGTTATGATTCTCTTGTAATAATGCTTCTCTCTTGAGCTTTGGAAGTTAACTTCTGCTGCTCAGTAAATTTACTAATGTATATTCAAATTGGGATTTTTACCAAAGTAAAAAAAACTTGCCCATATTCGCTCTTGCACATTGCATGGTCTCTCCACCTCTCTCTTTCATTTTTCATCTGTCATTCTTTTTGTCTCTCACTCTTTTTGTCTGTTTCTCACTCTCATTACCTAAGGGGTACACTGAATACAGAAGCCCAACATCCCAGAGGACTGCATTAGAAATTATTTTAGCTGTGAACTATTCGACCTGTGTGAAAAAGGTCCATAAAATTTAGATTTAAATAACAGAGTATAATAAAGTATAATGTAAATAGATTGCAGGTAAATTGCTACTGTTACTATGGCTGATATAATACATGATGACTCTCAGTTATGCAGTTCATTTCTCAACATTTTATTTCTGAAATAAATGTTCCCCCAGAGGTAAAGTAATTTTACGTAACATCTCAGGAACAACAAACTCTAAACTTATTGCAAATGTAATTTTTATTCAAAAAACGAACTTAACATTGAACACACTTTAGAAACTATCCTTTCCAACGTTAAAGATGTGTGTCTGGGTTGTCAGTCTTCCACAAGTTTGGTACAGCACCGGGAAAACACATTGGCCACCAGGGATGCTGCTGAACAGATTTAAAAAAGTGCATTAGACAAACTACTGTAGTCCAATGGAAAATAGAGTTTGAATATTTTAAAATATAATTATTATAACATGTTAAATAAAGCTGTTGGATGTCTACCAACAGCTTTATTTAACACGTTATAATAATAATAATCATAATCCTTGCATTTGATATAATGCCTTAGAGTCTCAAAGCACTTCACAGAATATACTCTAAAGTGATTTGACTGTATATATTGTGGGCGAAACTTATATTTTTGCCCACAAAATATACCACCTAAAGCATGTTTAGTGACTTATAAGATTTAAAGAAGAACTGCCATCTCATCAATGAGAGAAAGAGGGTAACATCTCATCCAGGGGGAGAGCTATCCCGGTCACCCTGATTTTAGGATCTTGTTATTGTGAAGAACGGACACACCAATGCATTCCTCCACTTTTCTGCACACTCCTGTCCCAGCAGGGAACATTCTGACCTTATCTCTCAAGAATACTCTGCCCAACAGTGTGTGGAACTTCCTCCCGACATGAAAGGCGCTTTACAATTGTAATTTTGTTGTATTTTGTTGTTGTTGAACATTAATTCCCTTCAGGGAAATACCCTCTCCCAATTACTAACAAATGTGTCGCTGCTTTCAAGAGTTGTTTTGTTGACCTTTAACCACTTCTGAATCTATTTGCTAAACCCTTTTCTGGAGCAGTCAGTCTGCCCTGTTTGCAGCTTCACAAACCCATTATTTGTGTGGTTTACCTGAAGGCTGTGTTGTATCTCAGGTAAGAGGTCCATGGGTACTGAAAGCCCTCTTGCCCTTTACCCAAGTGTCCTTTTCATAATAATAATAATCCTTGCGTTTGATGTAGCGCCTTATCACGCCTTCGAGACATGTCAAAGAGAAACGCAGTAGCCAATTGCGCACAGCAGTGTCCCACACATAGTTGTGGATTGAGTGGATTGAGTGACCAATTTTTTTTTGAGGGAATTATTACCCCCGGAAAAGCGATCTGCCAATCGACTAACAACCGGGTTTCTACTTACTACTACGTAAACAGAGGCGTGCGGAGTAAGGAAATTTGCCCATTGTTTTGCCCTGCTGGGAATCGAACCCAGGTCTCTCGCTTGCGAAGTCATTCCAACCACTGAGCTACAGTATGATTCATGTATGAATCCAGGTACTAGAATTCTCCCCCTTCCCATTAATGGGTGGGATGAGAGAATTTCCACCAACAGTGAGGCTAGATAGAGAGACTATGTTGTTGTGGGGAACATCACATCTATCCCAATATTCTCCTACCTCATCATCCATCCACACACTTGCACTTACAAATAGAGGTCACTGTGCAGCAATTAGGAGTGGGAAACCTGACAGATTTTTCATCTCCTTAGGCACTTGTGACTCTGATTGTAACAGTTGTAACAATTTCCCTTCCTCTCCGCATAACCCACACCCAAACTCCAGCTGAGATTATTTAACTTGGGCACAGACCAAGATTGAACTACAAAGCTTCTGGTTTATGTGACCTACATCATGCCAATTTAGCAGATTATTAAATTGCAATATACTCACCCTGTATATATTAATAATCCTTGCATTTGATATAGCACCTTTCACATCGAGAGGACAACTCAAAGCAGTTCACAGGATATACAGTAATGTGTAGTGAATGTATTTTGTAGGTCAACATGGCACCAATTTCATAATAAATATAATAATAATAATCCTTGCATTTAATATAATTTATCATGTCTTTGAGACATCTCAAAGCGCTTCACACAATATACTGAAAAGTGAATTGAATAATGATAATAATAATCTTTCCATTTGATATAGCGCTTTTCACGTCGGGAGGACCTCCCAAAGCGCTTCACAGAATACACTGTAAAGTGAATTGACTGTATATTTGTGGGCGATACGCAGTAGCCAATTGTGCACTGCAGTGTCCCACAAACAGTCGTGGATTCAGTGACCAAATATTTTTTTTTGAAGGGATTATTACCCCCGGAAAAGAGATCCACCAATTGACTAATAAACAGGTTTCTACTTACTGCTAGGTAAACAGAGGCGTGTGTAGTAAGGAAACTTGCTCTGCCCAGAAATTGAGGCAAATGTTCTCTAACCACTAAGCTACAGGATTCCACGTGTAAAATATAAAAACAACAATGATATAAAGCCAATATCCCACAAACAACCATGAAGTGAATAACCAATTTTAAATGACCAATTGTATTTGGGGGATTCTTGGCCAGGACACCAAGAGAAACTTCCTTCTCTTTTTGAATAGTGCCATGGGAGCTTTAACATCTACTTGCTTATGTTCTCTAATTTGGAATGAGATGTAATTATTTGTTCAGTACGTGTGAAGTAAGACATCAAAATGTAAAGACAATACTGCAGTCATTGCTCTTCTAAACTTTCCTCCTAAGGTCCAAATACAGTACAACATTCTACGTTACCTTTTATTCTCTCTGCATCCTTCTTGTGGTATAACACACACTGTTCACTAACAATAACAAACCTTTCTTTCCATGTTTTTAATGGGATGTTCCAATTAAAGGTTTCCTAATATTAACAAACAGCACTGTGTTAAAATCAATACATCGATAGTGACATATTACTTAAAACAACAACAACAACAAATCTTATTCATACAGCACCATTCACATCGGAGACTGCGTGTTCCAACAGGTGGCCCGCAGGCCACTAGCGCCCGGAGGGTGATCTTATCTGGCCCGAGACCATTTCCACTATTGCACTCCCACTCCCTCCCTCCCTGATGAACAGGAGTCCTCCCAGGGCAGCGACAGGAGCCGGCGGTTGGGAGGACACAGTGCGCAGAGCCTTTAGTGCAGTCTGTCAGGAAGGCAAGCGCGTCTCTTACCAACCCCGTCCTTAGCAAACAACCGCCGGCTCATGCCGCTGGGAGAGAGATTGGGAGAAAGAGAGGTTTGGGGGAGAGAGGGGGGAAGACAGGGGGAGTGGGGGAGCGAGAGAGGCGGGGAGAGGACGGGTAGAGAGAGAGGACAGAGGGGGTGGGGAGAGAGAGGGGGTAGAGAAAGAGGGGTTCACAAGGAAACAGAAAGAGGGGAGATTGAGAGAGGGTGATTGAGAAAGAGTTTTTTAATCCTTGCATTTAATCCTTGCAGTTTGAGAGGGGATAGAGAGAGAATGTGTGAAAGAGAGAAGGGGGGGGGGGGGGGTGGGGAGAGAGAAGGAGATAGGGGAGAGAGTGATTAAGAGAGGGGGGAGGTGGAGTTGTGAGAGGGAAGAGAGAGTGTGAGATGGTGTGAGAAGGGGAGTGAGCGAGAGTAATTGAAAGAGAGAGAGAGTGTATGAGAGAAGCAGAAAGAGAGAGCCTGAGAGAGGGGGGAGAGGAGTGTCCCCCCCCCCCCCCCCCCCCTCCTCCTCTCTGTCCCCATTCCCCCTCTTTCTCTCCCTCTCTCCCCCTCTTTGTCCCCCCTCCCCCTCTTTATCTCCTCCCCTCTCTGGAGCTCTTCCCCTTCCCCCTCTCCCCTCCCCATATCCCCACTCTCTCTCTGGATTCGGCCCGCAGGCCACCAGCTGGCCAACGCTGGATGGGGTCTGCGAACCGTTCTCAAATAGGGAATGCAGCCCACAGCAGCTAAAAGATTGGACCTCCATGTGGTAGAGAACTGAGTGGAGTTATGAGGCAGCTCAGAGAGTGACAGAAAGGTGGCTTCACCATGACCTAATGCCCCTCCCTCGTTGCAAATCCTGGCTCCGTCACGGGGACGTCCTCTCAACGTGAAAGGCACTTTACAAATGTAATTTTGTTGTTGTTGTTGGTAATGGTGGTGACAGGTGGAATAGCTTCTTAGCAACCGTGAGAAGCAGAGTGGCTCTCCTAGCAACCATGACAGACAGAGTGGTTCCCTTTAGCAATTGTGACAGGTGAAGTTGCATTGCTGGCATCTATAACCGGTGGAGTGACTTATGCTTCCAGAAAACTCAAGCAGTTTCTGACACTATGCTCTTACGATGTCATGGATTTACTCAGTCAAGGAACCAACGCAAAGGACATTTTTTTCTTTCTATCATTCTGAGTGCTAGATACCATGACAAACACATACTGAAGATATAGCAATCCTCCTCCCACCCTCCCGCAGCCGCCCACCCCCATCTACAATGAAAACCCAAGTGCTGTTTCCAAAAACGTGAAATATTTTGATTGCTCCATTCCATCTCAATCTGAAAAACTCAGCCCGATCCCTTGTTACACACCAATGCACTTGCACATAGTCTGTGATAACATGACTATTTATGTTCCTTATGATGAGTGAAAGGTCTAATTTAAACATTGCAAATAAATAAGCAGTCCCCATGTGTTTACTAACATTTACCTATGAGGAGGCATTTACCTCTTACACCACAAATTTGGTCAAGGACCAGATGAAAAGCTTAAAGAAGAACTGAACAAAATGGTGTGATTGCACATTGCCTCCAAGAGCTGGTGTGAGCAGCTCAGGAATTTGGTACAGTGGAGAGGAGGTGCTGGTGGAAACCAAACAGAAATGGCTCTGGTTTTAGATAAATCAAGAGGTAATGGTTGTTCTTCATTGTGATCAAACTTTTGGAACGCTTATAGTGGAATTCCCCAAGTGCTCCTCACCCAGCATAATTTGGACAACAGCCGGCCCTTTTCTAACCTTCAGCCAATTTACCCAATTTTGCTCGTTGTTTGTTGATATTTGCTTATTTTATTGTGCACTGATAGTCCGAAAGAAAGGGAATAGATTGATTACTTCAGTCTACTACTGTTTGTGGGACACTGCTGTGTTTCACCCACAGAATGTACAGTCAATTCGCTTTGCAGTGTTTCAAGGTGGGGCTCTTTGAGACTTCTCGAGGACCTGATAGAGCGCTATATCAAATACAAGGATTATTATTCTGTGAAGTGCTTTGAGATGTCTCGAAGACGTGATAAGGCGTTTTATCAAATGCAAGAATTATTATTATTATAATTTAGACTGGGAGTGTGCTGCATTGTTGAAGGTGCCATCCTTCAGATGAGACATTAAACCAAAGTTCTGTATGGCTGTTCACGTGGACTTTAAAGATTCCATGGTATTACTCAAAAAGAGAAGGTCCTGAATTATTATTTATGAGCAGTAACGTTTTACTAAAGTAAAGCTAAAATTATACAAAAACAAACTCCCAAATCGCAAAGATATTCTCTTTGCAAAACCCATTCAATTTAAAGTGAAGCATTTTAGATTTGACAGAATTTTGTTCAATTTATGATACTAGATGTATGGAGTCCTGCAGCTCAGTGGTTATAGAGTACTCACCTCGCAAGCGAGAGACTTGGGTTCCCAGCAGGGTGAAACCTTGGGCAAGTTTCTTTACTCCACATGCCTGATAATAATCCCTCAAGAAAAAAAATAATAATTTGGTCACTGAATCCACGAACTGTTTGTGGGACACTTCTGTGCGTAATTGGCTACCGAGTTTCGCCCACAAATATACAGTCAATTCACTTTACAGTATATTCTGTGAAGTGCTTTGAGACATCTCGAAGATGTGAAAAGCACTATATCAAATGCAAGAATTATTATTATTACTATTATAAGGACCCAGACACAGAATAAAAGAGAATAAATTTTATTTTTGTCATAAAATATGATTCACAACTTATCAATGTATACAGCAATCATCATTTCAGCAAATATTGTATTTGTACAAATGTAGAAATTTCCCGTTAGCATATGCCACCCCTATCAGGTTTCTTTTTTTTGTGGGTGGGGGTTGCATTGTGTTGATTGCTAAGAGGGGCTGCGGCTGTGAATTCAAGTTATTTAAAGTCTTGGAGATTCTGCCCCTGCAGTCAGGACACTGTATTTTCCCCCTTTTCCAGCACATGGCTTAATTTATTGTGTTGTGACAGCTGTCAGCTCACAGTAATCCCCTCACTGTACAGAAATCTCCCCCATCCTCCAATAGCACATGGTAATAAATTCCCCTCTCGACCACAGAGCACACTAGGAGCAGTTACAGGAGATGGCAGGAGCCAGTCACCACTGCTCTTGCTGGTCAGATGCTGCTGGCCTTTGGATATATCTGTCAATCGAACCATCTTCCCACGCTGCCCCACTCTTTCAGATATATGCTTCAATCCCATGTGTCATCTCAAACACATGGCACTCCTCCATCATGTCCTCCCAGCATGAAAGGCGCTATACAAATGTAATTTTGTATTGTATTACATGGAAAATCCCACCAGGTCTTTAGATTGGGACCAATTACTCAGTGGCTACTTCCTGGTCATCCGATCTTCCTCTGATGCTCCTGTATCCTGGTGGCAAAAACAAAATCAGTCTGGGAGGAGGTCTGACATACACCAAAATTCTGGCCTATTTTAACTCTGAGACTTTTGTAATGCACTGATCCATAATCCTCTGCATCCTATGTACACTAACATGGACACTATATTCGGGCTCACAGATTAGTGTGGGATTTAAATTTACAGGAATATAATTTTAAATATCACGATTGTATAGCATACACACATACACTCACACAAAACATCAACTGGATGGATTGAAACAAATATTTAACAAATTGGCGCTTTGACGTCAATAGTTGTGACATTTGGCGAACAAAAGCATCTCAGCGACTAGAGAGAGTCTACAGATATCACCGGCTGTATTTACAGTACACAGATCACAATAGCTCTAGGCTAGTTCTACTAATGTAACTGCCTTGAAACTGTAATGTAAACTGTCAGCTCATATGCGGATACAATTCAGTTTTTTTTCGAATAGCTGTAGGGAACTGCATTAAAACCAATATTGTTGTAGCGTTGGTTTTCTAAAGTCAAAACATGACCCATTTCCAAAAAAAACAATTGTTGTAGAGTAAATTGTGACACGGAACTAGAGAAGCAATTTACAATTTACTTCCAGCTTTTTACGCCTCAGCTTTCCTACTATGTCCCCACCATCCTAATAAATCAAGTAAAATAACAAAACAACAGCAATGAATTTGACAAAATCATCCATGGGGGGTTGGGGTGGGAGGGGTTGAGGGGTACACGGCTATGATTTTATTTCTGCTATCGGCCTTGACAGTAGCATGATGCTAATGGGTGTATTTTGTGCTTGAGTTCACCTTGCTATTTTAGGTCAGTGCTGCCATTTTAATATTTAGATGTAAATTTTCATCTGCTTCCAACGCTATTTTGTTGCCAGTTTCTGAGCTCAGTGCTGGAAGCAGTGGACACCAGAACTATAGGTTTGGCTCTGAGATCTGTTCTCCCAGATACTTTGGATGTTTATTTTAAAAAGAAATGTTTTATTTCAAACACGATAAGCCCAATTAAATGCACTGCCAACACTATTGCTATCCTTTTGATTACATTTTTCTGTTATGTTTTCGAATTGCTTGAAATGTTAGCGATCTTGACATGTAAGAATATGTAACTTGTTGCCCCCTGATTGCAGTGCTGAAACTGAATGCCACCTCTGAGCGTAAAAGAGATAGTTGCTGAGTGTTGAGGTAGCAGCTTCCAATTTAAGAAAATGAGCAACAAATAGATAAGGTAGGGCTCCAGTCTCAAAAAAAGGAAATCTCAGAGATTTGTCTACCAGATGAAGAGTTGTCCCTTATCATTTGCCAATTCCCTTCATTATTTTAAATGCGTCAATTTAAACACCTTAACCTTCTCAATAGTAGGGAATATAACCCAAATTTAGCTAACTTCCATCATAGTTAAATCACTTCATCCCAAGTATTGTTTTGATGAATCATTCTTGGACAGCCTTGGAGTTCAATATATCATTTCAACATTTGGGAGTCCAAAACTCTGAACAACAAGTGGTTCCTATTTGGTTTTACATTCTAGACCACTTGTTCTTCAGTATTGATATCAGTGCTGTGGACTCAGCCCTCAATATAAACTATGGAATCCACAGCACCAACAACAACAGTTTGCATTTATGTACATTGGGAGGATGTCTCAAAGCACTTCACACAGCTGACTGGGTGCTTGAGCTGCTGAAGGAACGTAGAGAGCTACATTGGCCATGGGGTGGGCTGACAACGTGATCAAAAAGAAAGGTCTTGACACTGGCTTTAAAAAGTGGGGGAGATGAGGTGGAAGAACTCCAGGACAGAGTTACAGAGAGCAGGGACAGAAAATCTGAAAGCTCGCTCACAGATGGTGAGGCAGATCAGTGGAGAACATGCAGTTTGCTGGTGTTAGCTGAGCAGAGGGAATGGAGCAATCAGCCCAGTTTGGTTGCAAGAAGTCGCAGAGGTATGGTGGGCTGAGGCCGATATCATACTGATATCATGCAAATGTAGTAGCTTAATAAGATGGGGACCAACTACTTGAATTTTCTGAAAGGGTCTGGCGTTGTTTCCAACAGTGATAAAGGTTTGAAAATCAACGGCTTCAAGCTTCAGGGATGCAGAAGCACAGTTTCCCATTAAACAGATTTTAATCTCACTTTTATATTCGGAGCTTGTCTGCATAAGCAAGGGCCGCTTCTACCATCAAACCATAGAAATTTACAGCACAGAAGAGAGCCAACCCATCAAGCCTGTGGTGGCTCTTTTAAAGAGCAATCCTTTCAGATCCATTTACCTTCCTTTTCTCCATAACTGTGATGAAACATGGCCAAATTTCCCAACACTGAAAGTCCATATACCCTTTATGGCATCTTATCTTTTGTTGTGTCCTCAGAAAGTTGTTCCCATTTTCACAAAAATTGTAAGTCGCTCCTTCAGATGAGACATTAATTGTAAATCCTGTCTGCTTGTGCAGTTGGATGTTAAAGATCCCACAGTGCAATTCAAAAAGAGAAAGGAGTTTCTCCCAGTTTCCTGGCCAACAATACTCAAGATAAAATTGGTCACTCACTTCATAGCTGTTATTGCACTTCATTGCTAACATGTACGCCTACAAAATACACAATCGCGACAAATTACAGTAAATTCTGTGAAGCCCTTTGGGGCATCTTCTTGATATGAAATACACTATATCAAATGCCAGGATTATTATTTTATTATCATGGAGAACATCTGCACACATGGGTTAGTATCGTCCCTGATTGACCCACAACGAGGTACATTAAGTGATGCTGGAAAAGATCCCTTCCGTCGATGATTCTGATGGCATGTAAGGTAGATTGAGTGGAAATGTCACTTAACTTTGATTATCCAGGTACAATACAATTTTTATTTATACAGTGCCTTTCACATCTGGATGATGTCCTGGATGGGGACCTAAGATGAGAGTGGGAACTGAGGGGATGGGGAAGGGAAAAATGACCACAAACCCAGTAAGAGGTAGCTTTTGAGTTGTGCCTTCAAAGAGGGGAGAGATGGATCAGGTCATAGGGTTGAATGAGTTTGTAGACGTTAGATGGGGCGAGACTGTGGATGGATTTAAGAATGATAACAAGGATCTTGAACTCAATCCACTGTGGGAGGGTGAGAAGCCAATGGAGGTGAGCAAGACTAAAGTTGATAGGACACGGGTTGCAGGGATTTGAATGGTCTGCACCAGTGCCTAGGGTTATCCTCCTGACGTGAAAGCCACTATATAAATGCAATTTGTTGTTGCTTATTGTTGTTGTTGTAGCTTGTGGAGGGAACAACTGGGGAGTCCAGCAAGCAGGGCACTGGCATAGTGAAGCCTGGATGTGATAAAGGTGTGATAAATAAAGATTAAAATGACTGGGTAACTACTGTGCTTTGAGACATTCATCATAAGTGAAAGGTGCTGTGTTAGTGCAAGCTGTTGGACATTGCATTGGCCTATATTTTTTGGATTTTTTTAAACCTTTCCAGATTTCAACTGTGATCTTTTCACTTCATCGTCTCCTAAATGAGTTGAATGCACTTCCACAACTACAGGCATTCTCAATATCTAACCCAAGTGCTCATTCTTCAAGTATGAAACTGGACGTTGAATGATTGTCAACCTTTGATTGTGGTGGTGTGGTGTGCGAGAAATATCACAGTCAAGCCCAATCATGTCTTCACATGATTTCCAGTTGTATCCAGAGATAATAATAATCCTTTCATTTGATATAGCGCCTTATCAGGTTTTCAAGATGTCTCAAAGCGTTTCACAAACACACTGTAAAGTGAATTGACTGTATATTTTGTGGGCAAAACACAGCAGCCAATTTTGCACAGTAGTGTCCCATAAACAGTTGTGGATTGAAGTGACCAATTAATTATTATTATTTTTTTGAAAGAATTATTACCCCCAGAAAACTAATCTGCCAATCGACTAACAACCAGGTTGCTAGGTACTGCTAGGTAAACAGCTACTGCTACTGCTAGGTAAACAGATGCGTGTGGATTAAGGAAACGCCCAACATTTCGTCCTATCAAGAATTGAACCCAGATTTCTCACTTGCGAAGCGAGTGCTCTAACCACTGAGCTGCAGGATTACTCTTTCCAGCAGGGGTGACTGGACAATGATCATTTTTAAAATTTACTCCCTCGCCCACCACTGCTCACTTGCCCAAGAACATATGGGCCATTTATAGCAAATCTATCACCACTCTGCCCTGCCTGCCACAAGCTAAACTATTAGGTGAGGTGACTATTTATAAACTGCTCTTCTTGTGCTGCGTGACCCTATATGTACCATGACCTCATCTTGTTGTGTAAATTTTGCAGATGAGAATGAGCTATTATCAGCTTCGAGGAGTGACATTATTACGTTATCTTTTATAAACTTCATGTTATAACCAAAATCTCCCACCCACCCCCAGATGCCAGTACGGCTTTGTTTTGATCAGTGGATATCCCAGTGTTGGCATATCTGACCTATGAGTTTGTAATAATGAGCTTTGCCTGTAGGTTAACGCCATCCATGATGCATTTTATTCAAGCCTCTCTCAACGTAGGTTTATGCCGGGGAAGAATTCAAGTAAAGACATTAGAAAAATGAATCCCGTACTTTAATCGTCAAACAAATCGCCTTCTAAAACACGGCATAATTTTCTGCATTGCTGTATTGTCGGCCAGCTTTAAGTACACATTTAATCCCTTGATTTGCTGCATGCAGTTTATGCACATTCAAATGTCTGTTGCACCATAAGAATCGATGAAGCTTATCTTTGACCCAATTTTTAAACCACAGAATGTAAACCGCAGATGAAAACCGTGCTCTCATGAGCTCTCCGAGTCTCTCTCACTGAAAGCATTTTGAATATTTTCATTTGTAAAAAGAAATTTCTGCTGTCAATTGAGCATGTTAGGTAAACATATTTTGCATTATCATCTTAGTGTGCCACGCAGTAACATTGTACAATAAATGTTTTCATGATGTT